TAATCGCAGTTAATTTCATCTATTTCTTCAACGTTGAAGTTAAAGTGACGATCTGTTATAGAGCTATTTTCAACAGTGGTACCAATGTCACAATGGCTATTGATGTGAAATTAACTATTCTTCCTTTTTTATACTCAAAAAAATATTCATATTAGTGAATTCCATGAGTATTTATTGAAATTGAGCAAATAAGACTAATGATTGATAACAGTGTTGTTATCGGAAGATATAAATGTTAAATAATATCTTTCTTTCTTTGACATTGTCCATAAGAAATTCATTTTGAAATCGATTTCGTTATATATTCTATTTTGAACGACTATGCCACCAAAATTTGATTTCATCTAATCACATACAACTTGTCATATGTGTAGATAGGATGATTTTCGATTCATAACAGTCAAATGACACACTTTGTCAAACATAATGTCAGTTATAAATCGATGATAGCATCCAATCATCAAAAGTCTTCTCACAAAATGTTTGAAAATTTCCAAAATGAACATTTCGATAAATTTTAGTTTTCGTACAATAGCGTGATTTCATGTGAACAAACGATCTTAGAAGAATGTCTATAAGATTTCAGTTTTGGGTCGTCGACAATTAGCGTACCCATAGAACATGGTCTAGATAAGTCAACTATTGAAAACAGAAAAAAAAACGTTTTTTTTGGTCTTGAATTAGAAAAACATTGTGAATATTTTTATGAACTGTCGAAAAATGAACGAATACTTGATGGTACTTTGTATTCAGATATTATTCAAAACTTTGACGTTTTATTCGAAAAGGTTTAATCCAGATAAGAAATAGTTATCAAACAAAAACTTCTAACTATTTATTGTTTTATCTCATTCGATAAGATTTATTGACCGATCAATAATTTATATCAATATTTATATCAATAAGCTGATTTTGATAACAAAATATTGACATTTTTTGAAAGGTAATTTTAATTTGTGATTTAACTTATCAAACATATCAAAAAAAGATGAATAGATTGAGTTTAATATGAAAATAAAATAATATTTTCTATGAAATTATTAATAATGTCACTGATTGATGATGACAACGAGAAAAAACTAATTGTTATGTTCATATGAGAATATAGCTTTTCATTCTTTCTTTTCTGATGCTATTCTCTGTCTGCACATCATGTGGGCGGAGGTGACATTCTTCGTATTTGTCGCCTCAAGAGACTGACCTGTCCAGATCGATGACATATCTCGTCTTTTCTTTTGAGAATTATTGACACATAAGCAATTTCTTTTTCTTTTTCGATTGACTATTGCCTCAAGTCTATCTCATCTCCACTTGACACCATCCAGCTGTTCATTTGTAATTTAATGAATGTATACCCTTCTGATTAACTAATTATCACATTTCGTTTTAAATGTGTGAATATTTTCAGCAAATATAAAATAAATTTTTTTTCCTGCTGAGTATATATTCATACTACTAGACTAGTATATAGAACTTAAATAAATAGATATCTAGCAGGTGTCCATCATTTAATTGAAGGTCATTGTTATTTCTAGTCTAGACATTTACATACGGAAATTCGATATGCTACATAGACTGTCTTTAAAAAAGAAAGGAAAGATTCATCAATAATATCAAATGGAATCGGTTTTTCTCTTTTTGATCTAATAAAAATTTCAATGCATTAAGAGTTCGCCGTTGGTGTCAACATAGACAAAGACAATTTCCTGGTTTTACTTATTGCATAGAATATTAAATGAATCTCATTTATGGACATTGTATGTTCTTTCAACAATGAATGACTCTCAAGAGAAAGACGAACAGAGACAAGAATGACCTCTCTTTTTCTCATCTTGTGTTATAAAACATTGACTTGTGTTTATCATACGTTTGAATGTTGTACACACACAGGTGGTTTACTTCTATTGAATATGATTGATGAGAAGAAGGAATTTTCTTCAAAGAAGATAATATCTAATTAGAATAAGCTTCAACTAAATTCAATATTTAACCAATAAATTTACTTAACACTTATAACAAACAGGTTCGTTTTATTTTTATCATGTATTGTTTTTAAACACTTTTTTTTTACATCGATAAATAAGATATGAATTCTATTCCATATTCTATTGAATCTGCACCCTTTACGATATATAAACATGAACATATGTTTATATGTACAAAGAAAGATTAGACACTTCTGTACATCAATAGAATAGGTCTTGTCTGCACGATATACATAATAATAAGTATGTCTGTAGAATAACTTCTAATTTAGCATCATGTAAAAGAAAAGATCGTCTTACATGACACTGTAGGTGTCCATGTTTTTTCAGCGTTTTTCTGCAATTATTTAGAGAAGACATTTCTCAAAGAAAAGACCGTGTCAATTAGAATGACCTCTTTTGTTTGTCTATATATATGTGTGTGTGTTGACCTTCTCTCTATGTTTGTACGATGAAGATGACGAGCCTAATTCCATATAGCGAAAAGAGAGAGGGAAAGAATATAAAAATGTTCTGTTTCTTTCTCTATTTAACAAATATTGGATGAAAGAAATAGATGAAACGGAAATCGAGACATATTGAACGCTGAAGAGAATTCTTCTTTTATTCATTGTCCAATTAGACCTTAGAAGGTTTCTTCATTTTAATTATCATTTGATACTTTTTTTTCTGGATGACAATGTTCATTGATGATATATATATATTTATGCTATAGTTGAAAGTCATTGAGTCACTATTCCGGAAATCATTTTCCTTTCTTTTTTTTACCTCAATAGATCTGTTCTATTGAAGGAAACAGATGATCTGGCCAAGGCTAACAAGACTCTTTCATCATCTTCAATAGTAGATCAACAATGTGCACACGCGCGCCAGATTATTTGAGCGTTTTTTCTTTCAGTATTTTTTTTTCTTCTTTTTGCATAATCATTATACGAAGAGTAGAAATCCAATGAAGCGAACGTGATGTGCAGATAATGAGTAGCGACGGTGGAATTATTTAGTGTCAAAAGAGACAGAAAGAAAAGATTATTGATAGTGAAAGAGAATGTATGTGCTTGAATGATTTTCAACATTTTGTCACTTTATAAATCAGAATAATCATAAACAACGGTCGGGTGAGTTTTAATCAAAAAAAAGTATTTTATTTTATTTCATTTCTCATTTTAGATATAATAAGTGTTAATTATTTTCATGAGACAAAAAAAACGAGAATTTTCACAGTATTAGAATGTGAAAAGTATTTATTTACTCAAGGTAAACATGAATGATAAGGTCTCTTATTATATTATTATTCCACCTGTTTAGATCCTCAAGGCACTTGTAGAGATGGAAACAATACAATATAAGTGTCCATAAACACGATGTTCATTGCTTTAAGGCGTTATATACAATGTTTTTTCTTCGTTAGGAATAGAAACGTAACACTTGTTTTTATTTATCGACATTGAATATATAACAGATGTTGATTAACTTCCCTACAGCGATATATATATATAACATTGTCGTTATTGCAATTAAACGTTTATCTGTTCTCTTCGACGTTCATGCATATAAATGACTTTTCTTTTATCGTCTTTTGTTCATTACATCATTTAGATGTTCCCGAAAGAAAAGGCGAGAAGAAAAATAGCTTAAGTTATATAAATATTTTGAAGAACTTATGAGAGACTACACAAAATTATTAGCTGACTTTATAAATACGTGAAAAAAGATCGATAAGCTATATCACTCGATTGACCATGTATGACAAAGATTGAAATCTTTACACATTTGTATTTTGCGTGTATGTAAGGCAAAATGATAATGAATAGTTTTTGTCAAAATAATGACATAAGGTGAGATGTAGAGTTCATTTTATTTAATTAGATATAGTTACATCATTATGATGAGTTCACTCTCTTTTCAATGTACGTCCAGACATTAGTATGAAGTATGTGGATCGAATAACAAACAGGATTAGATGGATATGAGTAAAAAGAGAATGGATGTGCCTTTGAGCATCGACCATCGACTTAGTAAATCAGGCTCTACTAAAAGAGAAAGATTATTTGTCACGTTTGTACGTTGAACTAGTTTAGTTTAAAAGTCCAAGTGAAAGAGTGTTTGTTTTCAATTTCATATTAAATATTTTTCCTGTTTTTTGTTAACCTTGATACATTTTGATGTTGTTGCTAATGGAAGGTTTGGTTTATGTCATTAGTATTTAATAACAGGATGAATGCTAATAGTAAATAGTATAATGATAAATGATTGTTGAATTGTATAATTGAATGAGATGAAAAAATAACCTTGAGGCAAAACATATTAATATTCGAAATGACTATTCTTTTCTTTTTTTTCGTTCAATTTATTCTTATGAATTAAATTTTTTCTTTTTTCTTAATTGTATAGAAAGAAATCAATCATACATACATATATAGATATATATGTGCATCGTTGTTCTTCCCTCTTTTTTTTTTACATAACATTCATCGAAGCATAGCCTATCATCTAGCATATGTGACGACAAGAAGTTTTCATCGACATAAACTTGTGCCAAAAAGATAACAGCCAGTGTTTATGTCATTCAATAGCTTTTCTTTCTTTCTCGTTTTTTTTCCTGCATTCATACGTAATAATGAGAGAATATTCTTTTTCTTCTAGTTGAATAGCAAAGAAGAAAAAAAAATGAGAGCTTCGATCTAATCACATCTGCCTACTGGGTGAATAAATGAATATGAGTTGGGTTTAATCAAGGACAATATCTATTCTTCTAATAAATGAGAAAATTTTTATTAACTAAATTTTTTTAGTCATAATTTTTTGTCAAGGCAAAATAAAAAAAGAAACGATGCGTTACCGTTTCGGTAAGATTTTTTTAATATTAAAACGTAAATGACATTTATTTCTTGTTGATTTGACACACGTTCGATAGTGTATGATCGGAAATATATAATTATCTTGTTCATCCGGTTGTGACTAGGCTTCCTTCATATATTGACGATCAACTGTCAGTTGAAATTTCTGTGTTTTTAGATGACGAACGATGATTTACATCGTCTTCCTCCTCCACCTTTATTTACACTTCGTCCTCCACCTAAACCACCTGGACCTTTATTTGAACAATTTCAAACAATTGAAATATTAAATGGTCAATGTATAAAACCATCATTAAATATTCTTAATAATTCTTCAAATATTCTTCAAACACATGAAGAACAAATTAATTGGTTAAATCTTTTTCTTCTTATTTTGGCTATAATTAGTGTTATTTCTTGTATTATAATTGCTATATTTATTTTTATTTGTCTCAAGTAAAGAAAAACAGCAGATATTTGATTTTAATCAAATATTTTTCTTTCATTTTTCTTTAGAAAATTAAGAAAAGAAGAAAAACAATATAAAAATTATGTTATAACTGGTTCATTATCATCAAAAAATCATCACCATCATTCTGATACATGTACTAGAGCAAGTGAACATTATAAAGTAAGAATTTTTTATCTCAAAATGATTTAATATTCAATGTTACTTTGAGAAACAAAAAGAAAAACACTTTAGAAAAACGACATAAATGCAAACAGGTGTGAAACACTTTACACAGTTTTCTTTTTGTTTTATCAATGTGAATAAATCTATAGCGGATATTGATAATAGACATGTGAGAAAAGCACTTGTCAACGATATTTAAATGATCAAATACATAACATCTGGAAAATTTTCTCTATTAAATATCAATGTTTTTCACACACGGTTTCTCATTCCATTACTTTCGTCTCTAAGATGAATAAATCATGAAAAAGAAAGAAAAATGAGCTAGATTATTGAATTTCTTTCGTTGATTATTTATTCTTTTAAGACAAGGTTAACTTTAGAAAGGTTTTATTTACCTTTACATTATTTATACAATGGAAAATTTAGTTCGAGTTTATCACAGATGATTGATGTTGAAGATATAATTGAAAAAATCTACTGTTTTATATAACGAGAGTTGTCTCGAAAACTACGACTCTGTATTATTATTGGAAATCGATCACGATAGCACTAGAAAAAAGTTCACCAGGATTCGAATTCATGAAATTGTAATTACATATTGAGAATTAATTTGATATTTGTACAAAAAATTGATTTGCAAAATTTTTTTCTTAAACAGATCTTATCATCAGTAAAATATTTTTAAGTTTCTGGTCGTACTAATTATTTCTTGTGTCGAGCTGTTGAGTATACAAAAACAACTATATAATATCTAATAATTGACTTTCTTTCAACATTCAATATCTAGCGTAAGGAATATTTGTTGCAGTTAAAACTTTGAAGATAGATTACGTTGTAGTAGATTTAATTATGAACAAAATTTTGGACTAAAATTGTCATTTATATTCTTAATTGAAATTTTCAGTATTGGCTGAAACCTTAATAAAATAATTATAGCTCCAAAAAGTAGATTCATTGACCTGACTCGTTTTTAATTTTTCTGTACTATTATCAAGATCTCTGTAGGTGATTGAAAGCAATTCTATTTAAATAGATTCTTAGCTATATTTGCATCGAAAATATCCTTATCATATATATTAATATACTACATATGGGCAGTCATCATCAAATAGGAAAAGAGATTATTCGATTAATGTTTACGTAAGACTGATCTGACTCGGGGGACTTCAAGAGGAATGCAATGTCTAAACTATTAAAAGAACTATCTTTTCTCAGTAATTTCTACGAAACATGTTAACTTAATATACAAAAACTTCGATCCATTAATAATGGAAATTGAGTTATCTTTCAATATCATAAAAGAAAAGATTAATTGAAAAAATTGTTATTTTTTTAGTGTACGCCAAATACATTCAATTGTTGTGATGATTATTATTCTCATCAGTTAATTCCCATGACAGAAGCACCTCTTCCGTCTACCATTTCTCCTCATGATATTGTAAATTCAACTAATAATACTGATTCTCCATCAACATTAAGCAATGCCGGTGCTGTTGATAATTCACAAAATCATCAATATGAATGTATACCTGAATGTTTCTTGACAATGGCCCGTCATCATCATTATCATCATCATCCTTCACTAGTATGTCATCATCAGCATCAATTATATCATCGACCTAGTGCCTGTTCTGTACCTTATGCTACTTTTTCTCGATCATTACTTTTATCTCGAGGAATAACAACAACGAGTACAAGTGACAGTAGTCAATGCACGTGTTCTCCTCCACCATCAACAACCGTTGTTCAAGAGGAATCATCAACTCCTTTACTTGCCACATCGATTTATAAAGAATCTCATCACAAAGAAGAAACATTGGCATCCTCATCAAAATTAATGATGATCGGATGGACAAGACGAAATTCATCTATATCAACAAAACAAAAATCGACTGGTATTATTGGCAATGAACAACAACAAAGTTTTCTATCTCAATTACGGAAATCTTCTGTATTAAAATAATTAATCAGATAAAATGCAGTGATTTACTATGCTTTTCTTTTTTTGTCTTGTTTTCATTACAAATTTTCATTTTATTGAAATGAAATTTGAGATATCTTATTTTCATTTTTCAACAAATATACAAAGTATTTCAGTGGATTGTTTTATATGGAGACCAACTTTGGATAATATTTTCAAGATCTTTGCATTGAATATTCATTCATTACATCACTTGTGTTTCTTAAACAAAAAGTCGATGATCTTCAAATGAAACTTACTGATTCGATCTTTAAATAGAACCTAGAAAAGTCATATTCTATTCTTGTGATACAATGAACATGTATTGAGATCTAAAACGAAATCAAATTCACCTTAGAATATATAAGAGCTCTAATATATTTTGCACACTCATATTGTGTCAGTAATGATGAAGAAGAATATGCTATTATTTCTTCCAGAAAAACTTCAAGAACTGAATAGCTTGACGGTAAAGTTAAAAAATAAAAGTGAATTAGGAAAAATTAATAAACTAAAATAATGTACGCGAAATAAATGATTTTTATTAACTAAACAGTTTTTATTTAATTTGTAGTTTTATTTTGACTTTTTAATGTAGTAAATGAATGAATAGGAATAAATACAGCGAATCAATAATGCACAATAAATACAAAATAAGACATAACTGATAAAAAATAATATTTCTTTGAGTTTTAATTTTTTTTGTGTTGGAAGTTTTTTAAGGAGAAATGAATACATAAGATTTTTTACTTCGATGCAGTTCGATTTTTTCTTTCACACAGATAAAAACAGATTTTGTTTATGGGCTCTTTATTTTTATACAGCCATATTTCTTATAGAGTTTGTTATCAAATGAAACACATAACCCGTACAATATGGATGAATATTAAAGTATCATTCTTCTTTCATTTTTTTATAAGATTGAATCATGTTTCTTCAACTTGATTCATTGGATTTCTCAAATGCTAAACAAAGTCATATCGAAATACATAGATTGTTCTCCAAAGGTCGTACGATATTGTCTTGGTCGATGTGAAAACAATGAAGATCTATCTGATTTACCACGAAGTGACCGACTATGTGCTTCATCGGACAAAATAAATTCAAAAATCGAAAAGAGAAAATTAAAATATTGACAAGCATAAAAGCAGAAAATTGAAATTATTTTTGATTCTGATTGGAAAAGCGCTCAGTTTGGAAAAATTATAAAAACTGAAATGTAGAGCATTGAATTTTTTTGTTCATCGGGGAAAAATTTTGATATAATGATATATTTGTTGACATTATTCATCTGTAAATAACATTTGATTACATTAGTTTTTATTTCGAATAACAATTTATTGTTTGAAACTACTATTAAGACGTAAATATTATATAAGTATTAGAAGCAATTATACAAATTAGTCAAGTGCCATGTCATAAAATAATTGCAATTAATCATCTTTAAACAAGTAAATGAATGTGGGAATAAATATTTTTCGAAATAAAAAACTAATAATAAGAAAGTATATTGAGAATAGTCGATTAGGTTTCATCATTACTAGGGAACCGCAGGATCCTCTGTTTTTGGTCCCGGTCGTGGTTCCGTCAGAAATTATTTTTAGTATCGAATTTGCTTCCGCCAGGATAGGGACTGTTTTGCAGTTTTCTAATCATTATATAAATGATATGTACAAATCAATCGTCCTTCTGTTCATGCATCATGACGCTAATTGAGAAATTGATTCAATCTTATCACTTTAAATTGTCGAACGTAGTAATGAACATTCGATAGTTATTTTGAAGCATCCAATAATGTGATTTCGTCGAACATTTATCCATGTTATTCAACTTTGCAGGAATCCATAACGAAATTTTATCAAATATCGATCAATCATTCTATCATACACATCATTTTGATATCGGGAGTATGCTTTTTGTCTATACGTTTTCATATCTCGCCTGGCTTTTTCTTTTTTTCCTTTCTCCGCTAAAAACTCATCAAGAAGCATTGAAACGAAAGTGTCAAATTAGAATGAAACTTGTACATGCGTGTCGCTTTGTATCAGAATGGAATTTGTTCTCTGTGAGGAATGAAGATTCTTTCGGTTTTTACACTAAAAGATATATAAAAAAAATTGCAGCGAATGTACAAGTCTGATCTAGGGAGGTATCTTTTCTATCTCTATATGTTTTTTCTGAGACGATTTGAAGAAACGTAAAGAAGGTAACCTTGATAATCTCTTTCAGATGAGAAGAGTGAAAAAATTGTAAGATAAACATGAAACTGCTACTTGAATGAATTGACTTTGTTGACTAAATGCTTAAATATCCATATATGTGCCTTTTTTATTTTTATTTTTTTTTCTCTCTTCCGAGTTCCTTTCTTTTTCTTTTACTTCCTCTCCTACTATTTCGTACATTTTTTGTATTTTGTTTTTATACTGTTGTTTTCAGGTTTTCTTTCATTCTTCCCATATCTTGTCTTTTTTTTAATTACTTTTCTGTTCTTTAATATTGAAACCACTATATTGTAGAAAGCTGTTACACCGATGGGATTGTACTGATGCTTCTGTAGGTTCTTTCTTGCTGTAATTCTAAATTTCTTTTTTTTTCCCAATGTCCCTATTTAAAGCGTTTCCGAACGTAACGATTAACAGCAAACTCCAAAAAAAATCGCAAGGTTAACTTTTTCAACCAGTTTATAAGATTTTTTTTTCTACAATTGTTTGGTCTATTTTTGGTCTTTGCTTAATTTAGACGATGAATAAAAAATGCAAGCTATGTTTTAAAATCGAAATGAGCCAGAGGTCCGAAAAGCGTTATTCTAGTGATTCAGATAGTCTTATATTATTGCTCTCTTTAGGTATCTTTTTTCTCCTTGTGGTCTGACGACATCTATCGTCCCAATCACATTCACAGTATCAGAGTTGGAACCGGACAGCTTTTTTCTGTCCGGTCCGGTCTGGCCAGCAACCGGCCGGATGAATATTACAGCCAAACTGGCAAAAATCCGGCGAAAATAACCGACCATGAAAGTATCTGTTCGCATAAAACGGTGGCGAAGGAGAATTGAATATTTACGTGAAGAAATCGGAACTAGGGGTGATCAATTTACATTTACGAAAGTTTAATAAATCCAAAAATAAATTTTGTAAATTTAAATTTATTTGTAATTTAAATTGGATTTACGTAAATTTAAATTTTTTAAAATTATTTCAGTTTATTTAAATTTTTTAAATCCAGTTTAAATCAATATAAATTCAACTTAAATCAAATGGAATTCAATTTAAATTCATGTAATTGGATTTCAATCCATTGACATTAATTCATATGGGATTTAAACCTAGTTCAATGAATTTAAATTGAATTTTATTTCATTTAAATTAGATTTATATTGATTTAAACTGAATTTAAAATGGATGTAATTTAAAATAAATTTAAATTTTTAAAATTTACATTTCAAATAAATTTAAATTTTCATATCTGAAAAATTTAAATTTATTTTAAATTTAAATTCGCACAAATTTAAATTTAAAATAAATTAACAGGGTATCGCCATCCCTAATTCGAACTGGAAACTAAAACTTGGGAATGAAACTCTCACCATCATATTTTATAGAAAGGTACATCAATCTTTCGAGCCCGATATCGATATAAATTAGCTATTTAGATCAAATCTGTTTTTTCATCTTAGTTTCAAAAAATGAAAAAAAGCAAGTTTAGAACAAATCTAACACAAAATTGTAAATATTTATTTTTCTTGATTCAGGCAGCTGCCTAAGTAGAACAAGAAAATAAACTATTTGATCTAGGCTAAATTGAGCGATACACGAGAAAGAAACCGATCGACCTATAAAGAGAACAATCAATCGCTTATAGTCAAGTTGAAGACAAGATATCCATTGAGTCTTTCGCAGAACACATCCTTCTGACTTGAAAATTTCGTAAAAACACCGTTTTCAGTAGAGAAAATTCTCGAGTGCAAACAACAATTTTGTAATGATGAACTGGCAAAAATCCGGTCCTGTCCGGCCCGGTTTAATTTCTTGTCCGGTCCGGCCGGACCGGTTCCAACTCTGCACAGTATCCGCTTTCTAAACAAACATTCTTATTATTGCTCTGTTTGGATTTATCAGTCATATATATATGTCGTATCGAAGTTAGCATGTTTATCGAAGTTATAACTTCGATAAAATTTTTATCGAAGTTACAACTTCGATGCTTCCTCTTATCGAAGTTTAACTTCGATAGAATTTTTTNCAACAAATTTCGGTTAAGGAAATATCAGTTGATGACTGTATTTTAATCTTGCGTGATCTAAAAGATCGTTGTGAATCAAATTTTGGTGGTATAATTTATTCATTTTAGTTTTTCTTTCTATATTTATTTAATTTATTCGACTCACTTATCATCATTACTAGTGTATCACTGTTATTTTTTCTATCACATGTCGCTAGCTTCCATGTTTTTCTTTCGATTCATTTTCTTTCATTCACGATCAATTATCCATGATCAATTGTCCGTGATCAGTTGTCCCATGATCAATTTTCTGTAATCAGTTGTCCGCTCACCTTTTAATTCTTCTTCAGCTTCCTTTGAATCTTGTACTAATGTTTGATCGTTTTCTTCTGATAATGCTGTTGTTTCAATATCTAATTGCAATTTTTGACGTTCTAATTGATCCATTATTTTAGATTGACTATTCGTTTGTGCATATACAATTGAACATGCTTTATTGATTAAATCTTTAAAGGCAAAAAATCAAATTTGATTTTCGAAATTTCTAAAAAACCTTTACCAATAGCTTTATCAGATCAAAATCGATTTGTTATAAAACAATTAGATAACTTTGTGACTTTAACTAAAGCTGAATCAAGAGTTCGAACTAAATTAAATAAATATAGAAAGAAAAACTAAAATGAATAAATTATACCACCAAAATTTGATTCACAACGATCTTTTAGATCACGCAAGATTAAAATACAGTCATCAACTGATATTTCCTTAACCGAAATTTGTTGAAAATATCTTTTGAATACTGGATCCTTTTCAATATATTCTTCATATTTATTCAAAGTTATTGCATCAATACAACGAAATTTGCCTTGAACTTTAAACAAAACATTTCTTATTCAATCGATACATAATAATCTCATCGTGTTTCTTATCTTTTGTATGTCATTTATTTTCTGTAAATTTTTGTTTCTCTTCATTAAATTTGGTCTTTTGTCTTGCATTTTGCTCGATTACTATTTATTATTTTCTTCCTCCATTTTTTTGGATAATTCTACAATGTTATTGTGAATTTCCCCATGTTCAATGCACAATCTAACAACAAATTGATTCACTGCTGCTGGTACCAACTACATTCGATCACATGTCGCCGTAAATCAAACCTAACCAAGATCTAGTACGGCAAGTTCCATCAACAAATGGGTTGCCCCATCAACCGATGGTATGCAAGCAAGCATAAGTTTTGATGAATTTGTAATTTTCTTTGTCAGCCTTAGGATTTCTTCATTTGTACGCGAAAATATCGAAAAATACTCACAGAAGCACCCACTATTAATCATCCCTGAATCTCACAACAGTCTTCATCCCCGGTACCAATCATTTCAGTAAATTTTGACGTACCAACATCTGTCGTATTCCGCAACGGCATTACAACTACTCAAGCTATGCTACTAAAAGACTGAATCCTAGCAAGTCTCTCGTCAATCCCGAAAACATCGATTTTGAAATTACACTTGATGCAATCAACGCATTTGCCGGTATCTAATCTCGAGAGGATATATAATTCACAAATAACCAAAATCGAAGCTTATTTTCTTTCATTGGTACTGCACACTACTTTTTGAGAGCGATTTTCTACTCTACAGAGACCAGATGTTCAGAGGGTATGAGTATGTGTAAATGTCTTCTCTTCAATCACACCCACATCCTTTTCAGTATGTATCTAAATACAATTTGCCTAGCATATTTCTAGAGAAATATCTTTGATATTAGTGATCAAATTGATGTATTTAATGATAAATTACGTGTTAATGGTGTTAATCATGATAAATCAATTGTTGGAATAAACTTGTTGTCAAGAATTTGATAGAATCAATAATGAATCATGTGCTACAGGTTCATCTAATTTTACTATCAAACGTGTTACAATTTCATTATCAAGTGCTAGTACCCACATCCACATCCATTCGTCAATTAGTACAGATATTGATAAGCGGTGGATAGATAAGTTTATTTCTTATTCTTATAGTTTGACCTAATCGAACCTGAAGTGAAGTCTGAAGGTATTGATCGTCGGATTATTTTGAAGATTTAAGCTGAATATATTTATAGTAGAAGTAATGCCTCAATTTATGATTCATGAATATGAACGGCATAGTATTGCTAAGCTTGCTGTTGACAAAAATATCAACTAATCGACCAATTAGTATTTCCGATGTAAAACCAAGGGATCAAGATAATTATGATACTTTTATTAGTGCACACACTACGGAACGAAGAGTTATTACTAAATATTTTGATGAAGGAAAAGTAGAAAATATGAAATCAACGAACAATTTTTTTTTATTTTACGTACTTTGTATCAAAGAGTTGAAATTAAACTATCCCGTTATTGTGCAACATTACAACTTTTCTATTACGCAATAAAATATTATCGAGAGTTATTTTTAAAAAAGTCGTTTTAATAACGGTCTTCATGTTAACGCAAATGCTGATTTATCAAATTTTAAGGAGCTCACCATGTCTACTACTCAACATATCAACAAAAAAATTCGAGACAATTGACTATTCTCAATTCTTCAAAAGATACTTACAGATACGAAGAGAAAATGAGCTAGAAACTGCGCTTGTATGTTATATCTCATATATATATAATTATCTATGTTAATATGTGCATATTTTCAAAGCTGCAATAATCTTAGTAGTTGAGATAAGTTTATCAATAGAAGAAAATATTTTCTCATAGTTTTCCATAAAACGAATGATTTGAAAAGTACAAGCCATTGAAAATTTGAAATAGTCGATTAAAATTAGTCGAGAAAAGTAAACTTGCAATCTCGAGATGATTATCTTGAAATTTCTTATATGAAGTTTAACTTGTGATGACTACATCATTTTTCGTCTTCATAATTAATTCATTTAGCATAATTAACAGACGCTTATAAGAGATGCCATACTATCCATAACTCCAATATCGAGATTCAACACACAACTACTAGAATATTTATGTAATAAGTTCGCGGTATCCGCATGTATCTATCGAGTTGAGCATTTTGAGTTATTTTGTTAAAGGATATGTTGTATTGGTGTGCCGATGCTTGTTGGACTTCTCTTGATACACATCCCATTCCATACAGCAGGACACACTCACACCCTTAGTTTTACATTTTATACAATTCATGGGTGATTTTCTAGGGTTTTCTATAACGTTCTATATCAATTTTTGTGCTGTTTTTGTCGTAGACAATTGTTTTGATAGACAGAAAAGGAAGGAAGCCGCATTTTTCAGTTCTTTCTCGCCTATCCTAAAGAAATATTCATTTTAAACAAATCCCTGTCGCAACAAACAGATCATTTTTAGCAGTAAGCCGCGGTATTTGTCAAAAACGGTGGTTTACCGCGGTTAATTGCAGTAATGGAAGCCGATAATTGAATCGGTAAAACCGTCGGTTTTCTACCGGTTGTTATCACATGGGAAGCTATGTCGATTATTAATTCACATACATTTGATTTTTGCTGTTGAACTGAACCTGAAGAAAAAACTAAAGTATTTTTTTTATTAAATTACAATTGGCTTTTACTATTGACGACATCAACCTAGATAAGTAAAAAAAAATAAGTTTTGCTTTTAATGGATATGATTGATAAAATGATCTATAATAAAGAAATAAGTAATATAAATTGAAAAGAGCTTACTTCAATTATACTGAATTAATAAAATGATGTGTGGTGCGATTTTTAAAAAAATAAATACTGCAACATTGAAGACAAATTTTCATTTCTAAAAAGTGTAGCGTTTTAATTAGAACGTATTTCATCGCTGAGATTTTTATTTAAATGCATAAAACAATTGTTATAAAAAATATTTGCATGAGACAAATTTAAAATTATACTCTTATCAGGTTATATTTGATCTTACAAGATTTCGACTATCAGACTTTGCAAAAGAATCTTATAGTAAGGATCATAGAAGATACATGATACCATCACACAGTAAGAAATACATCATATCTTACAGTAAGATATTTACACCATTTCCTACGATCATACAGTGTGAATCTTACGACATTGGATTGCAGTAAGATTTTATATGACTTGCGAGACTTTTCCATCTGGATTAGTACTGAATATCTTATTGAAGTTTTCTGCAACAGTAGTGCCACCTTAGTTTTGATATTTTATCCAAATTTGTCAGTGTTCTAATGCAAATCTATTGGTTGTCTGTTGTAAAAAAATGGCTCATATAAACATCATTTACTACTTAAAAGCACCGATGCACTACTTTTTGATTATTCTGATGGTTAATTGTCATATAGACTTAACACATTCTCAAAATAGAAGAGGGAAAAGAACCTAGAAAGACTTAATCTCAGGTCAGAAAAGCAGACGTCAGATCTTACAGACCCAGACGAAATCGTATGAAAATCGTACAAAAAACGCGGTCTCAGAAATCTTACATTAGATCGTACTATAAGATTCTAGAAAGATCTTACCACCGCATGAAACTTCCTATGATCTTAGAGTAATATCGTACACGACAGCAAGATCTTTCAAGAATCTTAAAGTACCGTCTTATGTAAGATTTCTGAGACTGCGTTTTTTTGTACGGTTTTCATCGGATCTTACAAGATTATAGAAGATCAGAGTTATGATCTGATAAGATCTTACGCTCTGATTGCTCGACCTGAGATCGCATCAATAAACATCATTGTATGATCTTTTAAGCCTAGAAAAACTTACACCAAAGCATGATTGCATCTGTTGACTGATCAGAGGAATAGCCAGAAATTTTCTAAATGGAGTACACACCAGCAAGAAACTAATTTTTTCATTCACGGAAAATTTTTTTATTCGTATTTCCGTCCAAGTGTTCTTTGATCAAGAGAAGTGCACAGGCACAACCTAGCTACGGCCCTGTGATTGATATCCAACGTCTTTTATCACATTAACGATTTCTTCTTTTTTTATTAATTCTAATGAAATCGAAACTGATTTGATCTAGCTTAGAGTTGCATTTCCAAAACAAACAGCGTCATCTATTAATACATTCTAAAGGATCAACTAATCATTTCAACAACCAGATCTGTCCTTGCTTCGTTAATCATAATTTATTAATTAGAAAGAAAACATTACACACATATTGTGCGAACAGAAATGATAACGAATGATTGTCAATATTTAACAAATATGCAACATGCTATTTGCAACCAGTTCTTTTCTCTTGCGTTGAAAAAGAAACAAAAATATGACTTCATACCAATTAAAACAAGCAACGAAACATTTGAAGCAATTAAGAAACGAAAGAATGTTTTAAAAGTCCCAATCTATGCTTATAGTGAATTAACAAGCCATCGCAATATATTCTTTGCTGCTTGCAATTCAAATAAAATCGAAAGCATCCGAAATTCATGAGTTTTCACGAAGAGAACCAATCAATTTTCAATAGAATACTGCTGAACTTTGACAAAACATTAGAGCTATCGTGACATTGTTACTGCAGAATATAACAATAAAACTTTCAATGCTTCTTTTTTCTTAAGAAGCAGTCTACTATACAAAAAATAACTGAATGTGAATAGTTTTCAAATGTTTATGCCACTATAGTAAATATTTCTAGATTCGGATATCTTGGTCCAGATACATTAAGAAGATTTCCTATTTTAAATTCATTAGTTTGTTCGTGAAAGTATTAATTTGATCTGACTACTTCTAATATTATTAATTTCTAATACAAAACTCTCTATGGTTGGATACGATCGATAAAATATTCTTTGATATTAACAGCGAGATTATGAATAGAAGTATTTTATTTTATAATTATCAAAGAAAAATAATTCAAGAATATCACTAATGAATACCATCGCTCTTTGAAACATTCTTAATCTTAACTAAATGTACGACATCTTTAGTGAGAAATTTTCTGCTGATATATTTATATGGGAAAGATCAAGATAAATGTTATCATTATTGATGCATATGATAGAAAAAGAGGACGTTTTATATAGGACGGTACTATATTAGTGTGATGTGATACTATAGGAATCAAATAAATGCGATTAGAAACTAGTGATAATCATCATCAAAGAAATATGATGCTTTCACGGTTTGATAAATTCTAACAAAATAAATAATTAATACATTTGTTAAAACTTGGTATATTTCTAATTTTTATGATGAATAAATCTCTAATTACACGAATATTAACTCAAACAAGAAGATAAGATAAATTGTTCTATATAATTCTTTAATATATATATATATGTGTGTGCATGTGTGTGGAACAATTTTTCAAGATCTTTTTGTCGTTGTTTAAACTGATTCCAAGATTGTTTTTATGACATTAAGCACCATTTGTCCTCATCCGTTCACAAAACGTTTATCCATCTGTCATTATTTATCATAAAATATCATGTTTTTTTTACTTCATGCACATTAAACCTCTCCTGAAAAATTGATTTGGGATCCGAAACATTTAAATGGCTTGAAATTTTCAAGACATGTTAATAGTGTAGCGGAGAAACTCTAATGAATTTTTCAGCTTGATACCGTGATGTTTTTATGACACTCATTAGACAATAGTCACAAATAGCTAATAGAGCAACCCAATAATCTCGATACGGTGTTCATTCTATATATATATTTTTTTTTTAAAGAATATCTCAGGTTGCAGGACCTCACAGAACCGTTGTTTTTAAATTCTTACTTACTGGTTTGAAGAAAGAGATGACAAGTTCAGTATCGAAAAAAATCTCTAAAAATCATTTGGCACTCTTTTAAAATTATTTTATGAAAATTTTTGTGGTGCTAAACTTGTCATCTTTTTCTTCCAACCAGAAATGATGACTTTATAAAAGGAACTCTGCCAGGTCATGCCGCTTGACATTCTCTTTCAAAAAATAAAAATAAAATACATGGAGTGAAGACCTCGCGGATAGTATTGGGTTACTCAATTAACTGTTTGTGACTCCAATCTGGCAAGTGTCTCATGAGAACATCATGGTATCAAGTTGAAAATTCCACCATAGCCTCTTCATTACAGTCTCAACATATCCTAAAAGTTTCAAGCGATTTGAATGTTCTTAGCTGAAAATTGATTTTTTAGGGTGGCTTAATGTTGTCAACAGGCAAGGTCTTCATTTTTTAGGCTCTTATTGCAATAACTTGATAGTTTAAGGTCAGTTCAATTTGAAATTCTTATGTTAATTGAATAGACAACAACAGTTAATCTAATAATTTGACCATTCTCGAATGTCTTAAGGTAAATATTTTCTATTTATTCGAAGTCAAAATTTATAGCAAAAAAAATTCTTTTAAGAATAAGAGATCATTACATAATTTTGCCAGAGAGATTCGTAGTAAAAGATATGATACCTACATTTTGTACTATTATCAATGATTTATCAATTTTTTTTCTCTAATTTGACAGGTTTTAAGTTGTTGATAGACATATTAAAGACAGATATCATTGCTAATCAAAGCTATCCTTACTTTTTGTTTGACGTTATATTTCAGTTATCTTGAATATTCTCAAAAATGATAATGAACAGAATACAATTATCAGCTGGCAATCATCCTAAAATGTTTACGATATATAAGTTATATCTCAATCTCATTCTTGACTATGATAGATAATGTAAAAATAAATTGACAACGTTCTGTTGTACGTCAGATAATTATTATATGATCAACTGTTGATTATTGTTACTCAACTTACAATAAACCACATAATGAACCATCTGACTGGATGTTCATTGGTTATATTTGTAAAATAAAATCTGAATGAATATTGTCAATTGTCTTTGATCTCTCCCGTCTTGTAGCAGAAATAATAATAATAATATTAATAATGAAAAGTAAAGAGAAAACGATGAAAAGAATAATGTACACACAGAAGAAGAAAAAGACAAGTATTACATCCACACGCTCTATTCTCTGGGCGAACAAATTGAATCGAACCACAGGTAACAACAGCGAGAAAATAAAAAAATAAAAACGAACAAACAATAAGAATACAACCGTTATCATATACTGATGTTGATGATGATCCAATCTAATACAATAAGCAATGTGTGAAAGACGCGCGACCCAAAAAAAGAAACAGAAGAGGAACTATGTGCGAGTAATGAAAATTTTTTTAAAAATGAATCGAGTCGTGTCGTATATATTCACAACGTCATTCCCATACGTTGCAATGCTAATAAAGCATTAACCGCTTTCTAAAATCAAATTTAAGAAAAACAAAACTTTAAAAAGAAATCAATATATTGAACAAGAATTATTTAACCTGCCAACGTCGTCTTATAACAAATCTACGTAATTTTTTGGTAGATAATTTCTTTTCGGCTATTTCTTCATCGCTTGGAGCAGCTACTAATTTTGGTCGACGAGTTAACCATGGATGAGCAAGACATTGTCTTGCTGAAAAACGTTTACTATATAGAAGAAAAGAAAACAAAGTAAATATTTTATAAATTAATATGTGTTTTTGTTTAAATTCCTACTCTTTATCTCTGACAAGTAATTTTGATATAAAATCTTTTGCCTCTTTTGATATATCAGTAAATGATTCATCATCAAAATCATAATTAGCTCGATTTATATTAGCATATGTATCATTATCGTTTTCACCCATAAATGGACTTAAACCTGATAATCTAAAAGAAAAAAGTTTAATTTTTATTCTTCAATTTTCTTAATTCTTTTAAATTAACTTACAAAACATAACAAATAACTCCCACAGACCTAAAAATAAAAAAATAGTCAATATAATTTCTTAACAACTAATCGTCATACCACATATCTGTACCAAATCCAACTCTATCAAAGTTAATAACTTCTGGTGCAACAAATTCAGGTGTACCAAATAAAACTTTCAATTGTTTACTTGGATCAAATTTTCTTGCCAGACCAAAATCAATAATTTTAATTCGATGACCACCTCGATTAACACATAAAATATTTTCCGGCTATATATAATTAAATATCCTTAAATAAAATCTTCGAAAAATAATTAAACAAACCTTCATATCAAGATGAACTATATTACATGAATGCATAAAACTAACACCTTCACATATCTGCATCATATATAATTCACACAGACGTTCAGTTAATATAAAATCATCATCAATAACACGTTCAAATAGCTCTCCACCACTAATTCTAAAAAACAATTTTTTTTTTCTTTCTAAATAAAAATAAAATTTTATTCTTTACAATTCCATTATAAGACAAATATTTCCTTTTGTTTCAAAAGCATCATAAAGTTGTAGAAGACGTGGATGCTGAAGAGCTTTCATTATTTCAATTTCATTTAATGCTTCAATACGATCTTGTTCTTTATTTAGTTGAATAAATTTTGCTGCTAAAAAGTGTTGAGTTAATTTTTCAAGACATTTTTTAACTTCACCAAATTTTCCTCTAAATTTAAATATTATTTTTCAAATAAATTCTTTTTTAAATTTATTTTACCTTCCAAGAATTTCCATAAGTTCATATTCATCTGTAACTGATTTATTTTTCTTAACTGTTACAACACGTGGTGAAAATGGTGGATCGACATCTAGAACACATGAAACACACATACATATGTATGATCTCGTTTTCAAGACAATTATTTGTTTTTTATTATTACCATCTTCCAATATAACATCATGAGATGTATGATGACCATGTTGTTGCAGTACATCAGGCCTAGCAGAAAATAGAAATGAAATTTATTTTATCATAATCATTATTTTTAACTCACATAGGAATTAATCCTATAAAGAAAGAGAACAAAAAGGAATAAGTCTTATTGTTTTCTATTATAGCGTACGCGCAATAATCAATGTATGTTATCGTACAAGCGAGAAGAATAGAACAAATCGAGAGAAGAGAATTAAAAACAAATAATAGACACAAAAGATTATGATATATATATATAAATATCTTTGCACAAGTTGCTTACAGATAACATCATATCACATAAGCGAGAAAATAATGTTATGTCTGACATGTATATGAGATTACTGAATAACAAAATGACGTTTATGAGTCAAAATATGTACAAAATTATTTTGTAAGGAATCTTAGAACATGTCAAGAATTTTAATAGGACTATTTGCATATACCCATGAAAATATTTGTTTTTTTGATACAAATTATAAAATATCAAAAGTAATCAAATCAATTATAAAAATCTGTTTTTTCCTTTTTATATTAATAAAACAGGTGATCGTATTTTCCTTATTGATTGACTTACTGTAGTATATGTGTGATTAGTAGAGCGAAGCGTTAGTATATAAATATATCTGTATTTGTTACCCGTAAAGTCGAATAAGTGAATCTCTTTTATATTTTAATGGTAGATTTGTATTTATAGTTATGATTTCTTTTATTGAATTTTGTGATAAACTTGTTTCTGATAGAATTATTTCAGGAGTTGATAATTGACGATATTGATCAACTAAATTAACTTCAGATGAACAAAAACGATTTGTTAATGTAGATGTTTGTGTTTGTTGTTGTTCAAGATCTTCATTGATTGAACATAATGGTGCAATAGCTGATGGCGTTGACAAAACTGTACGAGTAAATGTAGTAACTGGTGGAAAAGGAGAATTGGCTCGTTTAAAAGTAGTTGTATTAGAAATAAATTGACGCTGTTTTTGAGTTGAAGCTATTGTTGGACGAGCAAAACCAGGAGGTGATGGAGCATTCGATGATGATGAACATGAAGATGAACAAGTTGAATCTGTTGTTGCACTTGTACTTGAACGTGACAATGTTACAGAATCCTTATTACCATTATTAATCACAGCAACCATTCTATGTACCACAGAATCAGTATCACTTTCGATATTTTCTCCCTGTTGTTGTTGTTGTTGTTGAGACATTTGTTTGAGTTGAGACCATGTTTTTGTTAAAGGAATTTTTGGACTAACAGGTGGTGGAGTAGGTCTATTATGATTAGCTATCTTTTCACAGATAATAATTGGTTGAGGTTTATTATTATTATTATTATTATTGTTATTATATTTTTTTGAAGTAAATGGAATAGGAGAAGAAGTTTCAACGACGACAATTGGTGGAGTTCGTGGAGAATTTCCATTTTTTCGTGTACCTTCCCATTGTTTAACAAAGACACTACGAATTGGAGAAGATACTTTTGTGCGAGTATTCATTGACGAAGCAGCTTGAGATTCAAATTGACGAATTATATTAGCAACCCGAGATGAAATTACCCGATTTTTAAAGAGTTGACATTGAATTTCTAAATGAATTGGTGTTGATTCGACTAGTGAGATCGATGATTGTGAAAATTGTAAAGTTGATAATAATGGTGAAGATGATGGTATAGATTGGGGTCGCAGAAAAAAAGGGGTTGACTGTTTGTTATTGTTACTATTCGTCGTCGTCAAATCGTTCACGGATGTCCAACGTTGGATGAACGTTGATGATGACATTTTTTCTCTCTCTCTCTCTCTTTTTTTCTTCCTATGTTCAATGTAGAACAGCAAAAATTATTACAGCAACGAGCACATCACCATGTTGATCGGTATCATCGACTACGACGACAATAATAAAGAAGAAGAAGAAGAAGTACGTAACATAGTACACACGTGCATTTATGTGTGTCAACTTCAACCTCATGCACACATTGTATAAAAATATTCGTCGGTTACTCGAAGGAGAAATCAACCGTATGCATAAGTATTTTAAAAAGAGAAAGAAAGAACGGATAAAAAAAGAATTTAATATATAATAAAATGGTGATAATGGTTCTCTACAAAAACAGAAAGAAAAAAATAAAAAAAAAATATGATTGCAATAGACATGATCATCTGACGATGTTTGCATGTCATAAATGTATTTTATAATAATATAATAAAAGGTGATCTCCTTCGAAATGATTTAAATATTTGATTATTTAAAAACAAATGCATAATAAGATGAAACAAATTTGTATATGAAATAAATGATTTGAAATGAAGTCGTCTGAAGCCTTTTTTCGAATGTCTACTTGTGTCCTTCAATACTCTTTTATTTGGTTTGTTAACATTGATTTTCTCTCATGTGAGTCATTAGATAGAAGTGTGTACTCGATTGCCCGCCAATAAAGGTCGTATTATTATGCATAATTCATACGCCAAGGTCAAGGCTATTCTATGAAGCGACGACGGCGAATTGAACAAATTCATTGCTTTTTCGATATCGAAACTATATTTTATATTTATGTTTGTTTCTTTTTCTCAAGAGAAGAGAAAAAAACAGTATGTTGGAAAGTATCATATTACACATATACAAAGAAAATAGAAGGGAAAATGCCTTTTTTTTTATATGTAGCTATTGACGATAGGCAAATGGACATATCTTACAGATAAGGTGCGCCAAGAAATCACATAATCGAATAATTACAGATATATTTTGAGTAATTTGTTTTCGACTACAAGTATTACCTTATTAATAAGTAGAATTCAAGGTAATCTTATTAAAAGAAAACAACAACCACGGAGAAAGAATTTAATCTTACCGTTTTGATATTGTAGACGATGATATTACTTGTTCATGTTGATGTTTATTTTTATTTGCTATTGATGTAATATTATCTAATGTTTTTGATAACTGTCTTTTATATAATGGTTGATCTTTTTGATGTTCGATGTCAGCTGTAGTTTTAGTCATAGTTGTTGGAATATTTGATTGATAATCAATAGAATATCCTGATGAAATAGTTTGTTCCGGTATTTTTCCTATACTTGTTCGTTTAATTGTAGATGGTTCTGATAATTTGTTTTGATTTGGTAATGTTAAACTTGCTCGTCGATCAGTAGAAACAGGAGCTAAACTCGATTTATTTACTTGATTAGATGATTTTGATGATAATAAAATATTTAATGCTGAAGATGAAGAAACAGCATTAATCGATTCATTTGATTTCACAAAGTTTAAAGATTTGGAATGATTGATGTTCGATTTAAGAAAACCACTTTCTTCATTATGCGTTGAGGTAGACACAAGTCCAATAGTAGACTTACTTTTTTTCGAATTTTCAAGAGATTTTTTTATTGGTTCTGGTGTTTTTGATAAAGAAGTTTGATTAAGAGTATTTTTTTTTGTTTTCAATCCATTTGTTTCATTTTGTAGACGAAAATCACTCACTGTTTTGTTTTCTGTTAAAGTAGATGTTTCTGTATTAATCGATTTTTTCTCAGTTGATGGATTAAATGGTCGTTGAGATTGTTTATTTGTATCTTTAGCTTTTAATTGAATACCAAATTTATTGGCTACCTTATCTTTATTAAAAGCACCAAGACCCGGTGTACCACTCATTTGTTTATATTAGAAGATCTTTTTTTCTTTCTCAAACTACCAACGACGATTTCATCAGTTGTTGTTGCTGTCTTTTGTACGTATCTTTACTAAGAATATTCTATCTCTCGCGTTCTCATTCCTAAGAATAGAACCAAAAACAAGCATCCTTATAAAAAAAAAAAAAAAAAAAAGAGAAGCAAGCAATTCTCTTCTTATTGACTATGGAAAAAGACGAAGAAATATCTTTTTTTTTTATATTTTTTTCCTTGTTCTTGTTTCTCTCTGATACGTATGCACAGCTCTGTCGTGATATCGAACTACGTACAAAACAGAAAAACAAGAATAGGAAAAAAAAGGAGGCCTTGGTGCTGGTGCAGAATGACGATAGATATTATTACTGTGATTGTGATTATGCGACATCAGTGACGGTGCGAGCTTCTACCAGCACGTATTTTTTCATTAGACGTACATAGAAAAGTCGTAGGACAAATCTTGTTTTACAATAATAATAGAATTTTTTATTTTATTTTATCAAGAAATATCTTGCGAGACTATTTATGATAAACAAATTCATTTAATACACTATCACCATAATCAAAAATTGGCTCAAAATATTGTTTGTTTCATTGCCAGATGATATTTGTCATACAGACCCGTTACATAGTAAACAATATGTCAGCTTCTTCTTATTCCAGAAATAGCCAAACAAATTTTATCTGTAAGGACATTCATTGATTGTTCTATACAATACATCAGATGAGTTATGCTTTTCTTTTACCGAAATTTGATAAACTCGAACTATACTTGATTTATATTTTTCTCTATTTCTTGATTATTCTAGAAAAAAAATCAAGAAATTCTCTGATAAATATTCATTCTATTGGACTATGATCACATATTTCGTAGACTCATCAATAAAATAAAACTCTGGCATTCAACTTATTTCACTAAACATTAATTATTATATAAAGAACAATATCAATCAATCAAATCGTATATTTAGACACATATGTTTTATATATATATACTCAATGAAAACTTCTACTATTGACAGTTGATTGCTTAATAATATTCTGTGATAGTAACGGTCAATAGCGCATGAAGATAACTAAAATAGAATAATGCAAGTTTTTGTGTAAAGAAATTCGATCAGTGAAAATAATTAACTTATTTTCAAAGATACAAAAAATAATCTCGATTATTTTCCTCAGTTACTAAACAATAACTTAAATAAGATTCAAAGATTTGTTAAGCAATATGAACTTAAAGAATCAATCAACAGTTGTCTATGTCATTCGTATCTGTCAAATGTTATCAATCTATTATAAAACGCCCCAAGAGTACAAATTTGTCTCATGAGAATAATTTCTTGCATTTTTTATAATTTATTCTGCTTTTATGTCTAATGTCAATCATTATTGATCTATGAAAATATTTCAATTTTTTACTTTTATTTATCTATGAGATGTTAATTTAACATTTCTCGCTTTCGATTTCTAACTTCTTTGTTATTTATATATAAATAAAATGAACGTTTTATTGAATGCCAGACATACATATTATTTCCCTGTTTTTGTTTTGCACATATATGTAGAAAAAAAAAACTGCTCAGACAATAACCACGGTCTTACATTCAGCCGGGTGAAAAAAACCAAAACAAAGAAAAAAAAAACGAGGAAAACAACGTTTGAAGAGAAAGAATGACGTAGAAAGAGCAGGAAAGAGGAGAAGAAAAAGAGAAATAAGAAAACAAATAAGTAAAGGAAAAAAGAAAACAACAAGTATAAATAATAGCTGAAATACACACATATTAATATCATCTTATTTTTTCTCTTTATATCTTTCTCTCTCTGTCACTCTCAGTCTCGTCGAAAAAAAAAACGAAGATTAATGCAGTGTAAATATGCGATTATGTTTATCAAGCTGAATAAGTAGTACCACCCGCAGTTGTAACCGTTGTAGTCGTTGATGGTGGTGTTGTATAAGTAAATAGTGGCGATTCAGGACTATTTGGTGTTGATGATAATGGTGGCATCGGTGCTAATGGTGGAGTAAGAATAAATGGAAATGGAAAATTTCCTTGCGGATGCGCATGAAAATATTGTTGAGTTTGGGCAGGATTATTTGCTGTAGTAAAAACTAATTGTTGTTGAGCAAATGGTGAATTACCAGCTGGATGTGCAGCAACTAATGGATGTGGTAAAAGAGTTGCTGGTTGAAATATTGGACCAGCAGGATGAAAACCAAATGTTGTTGGACCAAATGGAATCTATTTCAAAATTTTCAAATTTAAGACATTTATTTATTTATTTATTTAGATTTTATTTTATTGAACATACTAAATAAAAGACAAAAATAATTATTCGCAGAATAGGACACGTGCAGCTGAATCTAACTTTTGTTTTATTTTATTTATTTTTTATTTTAGCAAAAATATAATAAGTTTTAATCAACATGCATCTGACTTTCTTATAACAGATATCTAGTCAAATAAATTGAAATCATTGGTTGAAAAAGAAAAGCGATGAAAAATTTGGTTTTTTATAAGATCAATACCCAATTATCTGGCATTATTATAGAAGAAGCTTTAAGAGAAATAAAATTCAAAATATTACTCATGAAAATCATATTAGAGAATACATTTAAACAATTAAATCATTTAATAAAAAAATTTCCTTTTTTTTGTTTTGATTTTCTTACTCCTCACGCAGCTGTAGGACACTGAAAATAAGTTTATGTTATATTTCGATTTGTTTGTTCGATATAAAGAATAAAAAGCCCTTGGAGAAAATTACCTCTTCAGGCTGATTCGGCTGCTGCTGCAGAGTTTGTTGTTCTGGTAAAATAAACTGAGAATGATTGGAATCGATCATCATTATCGATGGAGCGGTGGTACTAGCAGCAGAGCCGTACAGCGCATCGTAAGTCTCTTTGTAGAGATCTTCGAGACATTTCTCCTACGATGAAAATTACAACAAAAAAAACAAATATCAACTTAGCCATGCGTAGCATTAAATCACACAATATGAAACACATGCAAAATTTATGCTTTTGTTTTTGTTTTAATAAAAATAAATAACATACGTCTGTTCGGCGTGACGTTGGTCGAAGAATTGTATAATAAGCACCACGATGATGAACGACAGTTGGAGGTGGTTGACTTGGACGAGAAGATGTTGATAGAACACCGGTTGGTATTGAAGGTAGATTTCGATTTATTGTTGGAGGACTTGTATTACCATTTGTGGATAAACGACCGGTAGCATTTACACATCGACGAATATTTCTATTATAATATACATATGGAATATGTTTTTTACAGTCATATTCAATTTGTTTTTTTTTTCTTGACTTATTTCTTTGCAATTAACTTAAGTACGAACACAATAAAAATCTATGAATGATATTTTCATCGAACTAATTTCCTTTAAAAAGGTCTCATTGTAGAAATTTGATCTGTTTATTGATTTCAATAGTCTTAATAATAGTTTTTCAAAGTGCATTTCATATTATGATATTTTAGCATAGCACAACATCTAGCAATGAATAATGCTTATTATATTGAAATAGAAATCATCAGTGATGTATTATGTGTTATATATTTAATTATATAAAAGGCTTGTATATTTGAAATAAGATTTTCAATAAATATGTGATAATAATCATGTTATTCGTCGTACCTTAGTCATTATAAAGATAAAATATTGTTCTTCAGAAGTCTTTTATCGAATAAAACTACAAAGATTTCATATTAAGAGATAGACAAACTTTATCTTTTGGAAATTTAGTGTATTTATTAAGCTCATTGGATTTACTTAGTTACATCGCAGAATTCATTCGGACTGTACGAGCAGAGTCATTTGTGTCACTTTCAATCACATTATTTGCCATTAGAGTTGTAAAGTGTTGATATAAACACTGAAATACTGATTATTAGTTTTCGACAGAGAGTCTACTCAGGTACCGATGTTCACTGAAGCACTAACTACACTGACATCTACGTTTACTGCAACAATCAGAGTAGGGATGTCCAGTTTCAGTGAACTGCTCAACAAAAACTCGTACTGACTACACAGGATGAATGTTCATTGATTTACTTGACATATCTCTACTGTATGGATGTGTCAATTGTAGTCAGCATGCCAGTAGACTCACTGTCAGTATTTTCACCGAAACTATACATTTCTAATTGAGATATCAACTCGATCAAAATATGCTATTTTCGAAGTGATGTGCTCCAATGTTTCAGTGAACACTGATGCTAGTACAACAGTGTACACTAACAAAACTAAGACGGTGACGTTGAAAATTAGTAAAATGAAACTCAACATATGTATTTGTTTTTAGTTTTGCTTTTATTTCAACTATTCGTTTCATTTTTATATGTAAAAACTAATTGTGAAAGATAATATTGATATTTTTCTTTTGTATTTCACCGAAATGAGAATTTTTCATTGAAGCTAAAATTTTCGATATTCATTTATTTGAGTTATGTCTCTTTTTTTGTTTTATAATTAATAATGAAAATCTTACTTTTGTTGAAAAGCATTGACAGCAGGTGATACAAGTGGCGTTCCATTAGCTAATGATGTAGCTATTGTNGACATCTACGTTTACTGCAACAATCAGAGTAGGGATGTCCAGTTTCAGTGAACTGCTCAACGAAAACTCATACTGACTACACAGGATGAATGTTCATTGATTTACTTGACATATCTCTACTGTATGGATGTGTCAATTGTAGTCAGCATGCCAGTAGACTCACTGTCAGTATTTTCACCGAAACTGTACATTTCTAATTGAGATATCAACTCGATCAAAATATGCTATTTTCGAAGTGATGTGCTCCAATGTTTCAGTGAATACTGATGCTAGTACAACAGTGTACACTAACAAAACTAAGACGGTGACGTTGAAAATTAGTAAAATGAAACTCAACATATCTATTTGTTTTTAGTTTTGCTTTTATTTCAACTATTCTTTTCATTTTTATATGTAAAAACTAATTGTGAAAGATAATATTGATATTTTTCTTTTGTATTTCACTGAAATGAGAATTTTTCATTGAAGCTAAAATTTTCGATATTCATTTATTTGAGTTATGTCTCTTTTTTTGTTTTATAATTAATAATGAAAATCTTACTTTTGTTGAAAAGCATTGACAGCAGGTGATACAAGTGGCGTTCCATTAGCTAATGATGTAGCTATTGTCTGTATTGATGTTGGATTTGTAGCTAATGGTGTACTTGGAATTGTTATATATGGAATAGCTGTTAAATGTGGTGTTAAATCGAATGTTGCTGTTGTTGGAGCAATAGCACCGGTTGGTAAACCAAACTAAAACAAATTGATATGTTCAAATGAAGATAATAAAAAAAAGCAGAAGATTACTGGTAAATGCGTAGCAATAGTCGATGGACTAACACCACGTGTAAATCTAAAATATTGATTTTTATCAACTGGTTTCGCTAAAGTAACTTCAACAATCGAACCATCAATTTCTCGACCTAATTAAAATAAAAATATTATAAATAAAATAAAATAAAAAGTAAAACATGCCATTCATAAGATTCATTGCATGTAAAGCATCATCACGTTCTTTAAAATGAACAAATGCATAATCTTTTAATTTTTTAACACGTTCAACAGAATTTGATTTAAAACGTTGAAAAATTTCTTTAATTTGTTCTTCTGTTGTATTCATCATTAAATTTCTAACATAAAGTACTCGAACCTAAATTTAACAAATAATTTTTAATAATAAAAAAAATAACAGTAAAATATATAATTACAGTTGCCATAATATCTTCATCAACTTCAGTTTCAGGTTCAGCCCAATCAACAGCAATTTGATGTCCCCATAATTGAATTTTTCCTGGTAATAATTTTCTTCTAGCCATAGCTGCTGATCGATGACTTTCATATTCAACAAAAGCAAAACCACGATTTTTTGTTTTATCATGTGCACTTGGATAAACAATAACATCAACAACACCTTCAGTTACTTTACATATTTCATCAAGAATTTCTTCACGTTTTTTTGTTTTTGGTATTCCACCAACAAATAATCGACAATTATCGACAGACTGACATACACCTATTAAACGACTAGGACGAATTTCATAATTATTTAATTCTTTAACAGAACGTTTTGCATTATCACGACATGTATATGTTATAAATGCATAACCACGATTAAAACCTGAAAAATCCATCATTAAACGCATTTCATAGATTTGTCCACAACGTTCAAATAACGGAAATAATTCCGATTCAAAACAATCACGAGGTAATTTGCCAACAAATACTTCGCAACCACGACCAGGTGGATGACGAGTTGTTGGCCAATCTAAAATATTATATTCAAATTTTATTCAATCAACAACTGTAAAAGTAAATCTTCAAAATTATATCTAGAGTCCGTTGGATTCAAAATTTTTGCTTTCCAACCCAATGAAACTATACATTGATACTCTCAATGAAATTTTCTAATCGAAATTGGATAGTCACCTCAAAGATATGAGATTATTAGAGCACATTTCACTAGAGTCCGTCGGCTCGAATTCGAAACGGGATCTACCAGCGACATTTCCCAGCCGACTAGGATCCATCTGGTCCCAAAATTTTCAGACTCGGAACCGATGGGTTCTAATTACATGAATATTCATTGTTAATAATAGAATAATTAATTCGTAAATAGACTCATCTCCGCAAGATCTAAATAATACTAATTAAAATTTTTTATCATAATAAATTTTCGATGAAGTACACCTAATTATATGCTCGATTGAGATTTATATCATATTAAGGTTAAATATTAATGATAAAAGAATTCTTCGAAAGATATACACACACAAAATAAATGATATGTCAATAAAAACTTATCGACAAGTGATTATCTAATGAAGATTATCTTTTCTTATTTTTCATCAAAAAAAAAAAAATTTTTTTTGAATGGAAATATCCATTAGAAGTGAATCAGTATTATCTAATATAGACTATTCCTATCAAACAAAGTAAAGAAGTCAATCGTAATGTAATATGATCAGATTTTATGAAAATAAATGCGTGTTAAAATTTATTCTTTTCTTTTCTTCAGATTTAAATTAACGTAAAAATTTCAATGCAATGATAATTTATTTTAGAACGAAAATTTAAGAAAAATTTTGATAATTAAATAAATGAATAATCGATAAATACCTGGTGGTGGTCCAGTTTTTCGTTGTCCATTTTCTTGTCTAACAGGATAACCATTATCAGCATTAATACTTGTAATAACTTCATTTGGATGCGTACCAATTATATTTGATGGTGAAAGATGAGGATATGAAATAAATGATTCTTCATTTGAATTATTTATATGATTTGAATCAATAATTGAATCTTCTGTAGATAATTCTTGATCAATATGTAATGATGAAACTTTATTTGATTCAAGATCCATTGGATTACAATGACAACAAACTAGAAATATATATCATTGTAGTAGTTTAAAAAACATAGAAACCATCTGCTCTTGCCTTTTCCTCTTTTTTTCTTTTTCAATTCTTTCTCATCAGAAAAAAAAAATAAGAGAAGGATTATAAATCAGAGAGAAAAGGCAGTAAAACAAAAGGAAAGGTGTTCTTACTGTCTTTCTCTCTTAAATAAATTTTTTTTTCGTATGCCGACATCGACAGATATAGATAAGGTACTTCTCTTCTATTCAATAATGATAAACCTAACTTCAAATGTATATATGAATGACGATGACATAGAGCAAACAAAACAATGACGACCATTCCGAAAGCAATTCTCTTTTCTTTTTCGACCGATCTTCAATTTCAATGATAAGACAAAATACAAAAAAGAGAATATTTGAAAGAGAAAGACAAATCGACGGTGAAATCAAAAATCATATTTCAATCGATTAATCTATTAAAAACAAAATGAGAACGTATGTTCGATGCCATAAACACCTGTTTCTTTCTCATCTCATTTATCAAAATTAATCCTCGATATCATTCTTTTTCTTTCATTTAGAAAAAAAATTAATTAAACAACAACAACAAAAACGAAAAAGAAAACTTACCTGGAACAAAAAAACTAATGAATCAAATGAATATTTAATTTTGAAAATCGAATTTTGAATCACAATAATAAAAAAAAGAAAATTAAGAAACAATCTTCATCTCACATCCGCCGTTGTTTAACGGTCGGTATGTGGTGTTGGTCTAATCTTCTATCGACGATGAATGTGTGTGTGTGTGTGTGTCTGTGTGTGCACAAATAAGAGAGCTTTTATCTTTCTCTTTCTCCCAAGCACGTGTAGTTGATCTCTTATTTCACAAGCAGTGACTATCTCTTCTATATAGAACACCAAGTCAACATAACAAGTCATTTTCTATATTGACATTCTCATTTATACACTTATGAATTAAGAGATTTTTCAAAATTCACTTTATTTTATTATCCATATTTCACAGAAAGATGAAAAATTTTGAATACTATATAAATATATATATTTGGTTCAATTTAATTAAAAAACAAATGAAAAAATTTGATTGTGATTCATTGTTTCTAGTTTTTCCCACGTGTTCGTTAAATAAATAAAATAAAAAAAAAAGAAGGAGAAGAAATGGGTTAAAAGTCTAATGAGAAGGCAGGAAATCGAAAGACACAAGTCACCGGAAATTATTCTTTTATTCACTTATAATTTGCAATAAATTCATATTTGGGTGTGGCTAGTTCTCTAACCACAAATTGCATGAAACATAGATTGAACAAATTAAATTATTATAGCGTTCGTTTTGTCTTTTAATAATCAGTCTATCTTTTCTTTCCTTAGTCTCTTCATTCTAGTAAATATTTTTTAGTATTTTGTATGCTCTGTATATATGTTAAAACAACAATTTTTTTAATTTTCTTTGACCTTCTAAACTGGATTAATATGTGAAAGTTGATTTGTTTATATTCACACTTACTAGTTCGATCGGTGAATAGTAACACGTTGTCGATAAAAATGAACAAGAATGACGATTCTCTCATGTTTACTATCAATTGTCATTTTCTTTTCCTTTTCTATTTATGTTAAAATCGAATGAATTCATTATTATCGCTCGTCACATACTATTCCATGCCAGTAGAAAGAAAATAACCGTCTATTACATTTAAATCGAATTTAGTAAAAACAAAAAATAACGACATCTAACATTTCTTCTTAATTAAATCGATTGAGTTTTCTATGATTTAAAAAAATAAACTAAACAAATTCCGTATTTTTGTTTTATTTGCATAGAAGACATTTGAATTTAACGAAAAGATTTTTGTCTGTATACTTTAAACGTAATCACTTTTTTGCCTTCAGTAAAGAAAAAGTGATATTTGCACAGATTGTTAACCAATGCTGTCTGAAAGGGTTATTTTATACGTCGATTTCGCCAAGTAAAGGTTGTATTAGCATTGATAAAATAGGGATTTTAACATGTCTACATTTCTAATAATTGCATCAACAAATCGAACTTTGAAAATTGTTAACATGCAGTTCTATTAAAATTCTTATGAGAACAGAATGATAAAAATCGAAACAAAAGAATCATATGAACAAAAACTAAAGGAAGCTTTTATTCGTATGATCTTGTCTAAGATTAAATTTTATATTTCATTGTTTGAAATCATTTGAAATTATGTTCTTTCTTTCTAATAACAATTATTTATTAATACAAGATAGGTGATGATGATCATTTTCCTTTTACTCTTTATTGTTATAGTCTCATAACTCTGATTTCCAAGGATCATTTAATAATTGATTTTGCCAATGGAATAATAATTGAGTTAAGCGAATAATGATATAACTAATAGCGATAATTAAATCAATAATTGACAAATCGAGCACGATAATAGCATTTACTTGGATAGATTCTTATAAATAAATAGTCTTATATAGATAAGGAGATATCAATAAAAATAAAGATTATTAATTATCTTATGCGAATAAATATTTGAGATATAGGATATTATTTTATAAATGAACATCTCAATTAGAGTTTCAATCTTATGATCTTTTTGCTTTTGTTTATGTTAGAGAAAAATTTAATTCAAGAATTCTATAATAAGAATTTTTTTTATTGATGTTATATTGTCACATGATTTGAAAAACTTTCTTTTTTGCAATAACTACCAGATGTCTCCAGTCAATATTCAACCTATAATTTCTATCATGTAGGGCAAATATGTATTTTCTTATATCTTTAGAAAGGTCAATCTATTTCATTTGTATTTTTTCCTAAAAATTAGAAGAATGATAATACTATTTGTAAAGAAAATACAGGTGAAATAGGATGATGTTCAGAAAAAAAATATTGGATTGACCTATATTAGTGGAATTATAGATTGAATCTGAATCGAAATAATTCATGAAAAAATTGTTCTCAGTTATAGGCATTTTATTCGACAAAATTAACTATTACAAAAGCATTCATACTTATACATTTTATATAATTTATTTAAAATAAATCGAACCGAAACGAAAATAAATATCAATTACAAAAAAAAACAATAAATAAATATATATTTATATGATTATCTCTTTTTTTATTATTTTGGAGCTTTGAAGAAGACAGTAAGACTAGCAATAATAGCCACTATTATGAGAAATGGCAACCAAGTAAGAAGAAATCCGACAAAACTAAATAAGATAATTAAAAAAAAAAAGATAATGAACGTTCATTTGTTAATATACCTGACAAATTTTCCACGAAAAAACATCCAAAAGCAAAGTGAAATCATATTATGGGAATATTTTCGATTATAATTCATTGTATTCAATGCCATAGCTACATGTGAATGACAATTATCACAGCATAAATTATGCTAAATAAGAAGAACAAATAATTAAAGAGAAGATAAAAAATATTATTTGAATAACCATTCGTTTTTTATATTCATCTGATGCTTGTTCAACAGCTTTGTCCCAAATACTTTGTACATTGTTTGAACCCATTGTTGTTGCTGGAATACGATTAAGATCAAGTTGTAAATATTTTGTTGGTCGGCCAAATGCCATATCATCTTCCTACACACAGATCATATTTAATAGTTTATCAAGAAAAATTATCCTTAAACTTACTGATACATAATAGGGTCCTGCAAAATCTCGAATAATTCCATCAGTACGTGCGATACCCATATGACCGATAAATGGAAAAAGCCATGTAAGCAGTGGAATCGGTGTCCAAACAATACAATGAGGATATCGCATACGACCAACATCAATTCGATCAGTAAAACTACCTGACATAAAATTGTCGTCGTCCATTTATGCTTGTTTTTATTTTATATGATCTTGAACAATAAAAAGAAAATAGTTCTTAGATCAGGTCATTTCTATTCATTAGACTTAGGGCTGATCTGAGACAGACAATATATGGAAGAGTGTAAAGTTATTCTATTTAAGAGATTACACAGAAAACTTTCGACACCCCCCTGGAAAAAAAAGACAAAGTTTTGTTCATCGCTAGGGGGTGTCACATGCTGGGTTGGACCATCTTTAACTATATTCATAAATAAACATGATTAAAAATTATCAATTAATGATAAAATAATTTACAAGTATGTAAAATTTAACATATTATAGAAGAAGTCATTATCTCAATTTGAAAATAGAAGTTATTCGGATAGCTTTAGGATGAAAATTATTTGCTATGAGCATTCATTCAGAACTAAATCGAAGACTTCAATTTTTTTTAGTTTATGATAAGAATAGATGGCGCTCATTTTCATGATTCGTGTATTATTGTATAACAAATATTCATATCATGACAGAATGTTCTTGGCTAAACTCTTATCTTCATATACTGATAAGAAAAAAAAGAATGTTGCATATCTATTATATATTGTTAAATGATATCCGCTCGAATATACGTATATTAAGAAATTCATACTAAAGGGGAAATGTTTTCAACTGACCCGCCGAAATCTTTATATGCGGATTTTTCAGGCTAAAAAACATATTGTCAAAATCGTTTGTAATCTACTCAAACTATAGAATATATCGAAATGTCCATTATTCAATAATTTTTCCTATTTTCCAAATACTAATTTTAAGAAAAATAATTTCATATTCAAGATTTTCACATGCTTATATGTTGTACCAGCATCTGAAATTAAGAATCGATGACATGTTTAGCTGATACTTTAGTCGACTCTCGCATAAGTAACTCTCCAGTGAGTCTCGACAGATTAAAGAAGTCTCTGGTGAATCCTTGCCGGAAATCTCCGGGAAGTTGAGCAAAGCACGAGAAAATTTATGATGGAATATCTGTCGGGAGTGCCAAGAAAAAGCAAAAAAAAGCTTTGGAGGAGTTCCTGAAGGATCCTTGAGAGACTCCCCACATACTTTTTTGCTTTTTTCCTGATTGCTTGGCACTCCCGACAGACATTTCATCACTAATTTTCTCGTGCTTTGCTTAACTCCTCGGGGACTTACTAGAGACTTGGTTAAACTGTCAGGAATTTCCGTGCAGTTACTTAGAGAGAGTCGACTAGGGTGACCAATGAAACAAATAAAAACAACTCTAATTTGTCCTAAACTAACATAAGATAAGAAACAATTTAACATTAATTTGGTTTAAGGAAAATACTTTTTTTTAAAGATATTTATCTCTGAGAAAGTTGTTCCCCTAGTAACACAAAGGGGACTAAAATGGAATAATGGGTCATGATACAACGTTTTGCAATAGCGAGTAGGCGGTTTTAACATGTTCTCCTTGAAAAGAACGAATATATTGTTCTTAAACTTTTCACATGTTATTAAATTCATTCATTTATTTTATTTCATTTTTCTTCTATGAATAATAAAATGTGCCTATATGCTTCTTTTTTCTATTTGTATTGATGACGTGCAATAATTTTTTTTTCAACACGATTAATAACAAGACTGATATATTTAAATAGACAGATTTATCTCAGTAACAGTCAGCTCATGGATTAGCATGAATTGCTGAGGTAAACTTTAATGATGTGCGAGATAACGTTTTTTCCTTCCAATCTAGGCTCTGGTGATATCCTTTCCATTAGTCACGTGAGAGACTCAGTATCTTCTTTACCAACAGTACCCATCATGGTTCTGATAATTCTAGATTTATTAGAGTCTGACTCAAGCTTACAGAGAATTGTTTCAAAATTTATTTGTATCAAGTCTAAAATATGGTTAAATACATGTTTTTTGGTAAATTCAGTCGATATTAGTGGCGTAACCACGAGAAGGCTGAGATAGGCTGAGCCCCTGTCAGAAAGTTTTTGGTTCTCATGAAAAATAGAATTGTTTCTCATTTTCGAAGTTATTATCAGCAGACTGAGCGAGATGCGTCAGTTCATCCTTTTCAATAATCGATATTATTCTTGATTCGAAGGGGGAAAGGAGGTTTCTTTTTCAAACCAACAAAGGAATTAATGAACATTTCTGGTGAAAAAATTATTTATTCACTTCTGACTGTGGGAACTTTTCGATCTGGTCATAGTAGTCTTAATACACTTTCATAAGAACGATATGGAAATTGTTTTGTTAGATTCAAATTATCGATCTTATCGGGAACGAGTGTGTGTTTAGTGAATGTTATTTGGAATTTCTCGCTACGGCTTTTACCAACAGATCGATGCATGGTCGCCTATGTTACTATTGTGTGCAGGCCGATATTGAACTGAACATAGTTTTTTAGTAATTTGTTCATTCAAAAGATTCTTGTAAATTACCTTATACAGACTATCAAAAATTCTTGCTCAATTGTTATGGATCTCATGCTAAAAAAACAACTTCAAATTTTTCTTCTGAAAAAGTTATTTCCTGAGAAATATAAGGCGCATAGAACTGGTTTTAAATGTGACTTTGCTGACCAAAAAAATGTAATATAAAAAGTAGAGACTTTCCGTTTAAACCGATTCATGACAGCAATACTCAAGGTTTTAATGTAGCGAAGTTTTACGGCTATTCTCGTTGGCTCTGTACGTTTTGGTATTTATCTGAGCTACAGCCGGTTGCGAAACGAATTACCAATCTGACCAAGTAATTTTAAATTGGCTTCATATCAGTAAAATCGAACCAAGTTCTTTCGAAAGTGTTCCTCTTGAAAGCAGGTATTTTTTGCTCGAAAAAAGCTTTTAAACCATGGTCTAACAGATCCCACGTGATGGCTTGTAAAAGTCTTTGATACTGTCGTAGCGAACAAATAAGAAGATTCTAATACGTCCTAAGATCTTAATGGACCCATCTAGAAATATACTTCAGACCGACGATTATATCGTGCCTGCTATCACAAATTTTGACTCCGTTCTAATTTCATGTATTTCAATTTTTTGAAACACTTTGGATACAAAGAGTCACGCTTCTAACTGTTTCATCTGGAATCACTGCGTCCCTTACATAGCATGGAACTAATTTTGAGTGCCTAGTTTCAGGTTTAGACGGCATGTTGGAAATTATCTTTGACAATTCTAAGATCCGAATCATTAAATGGAATTGTATTCACTATAACCATGGAACATGAAAAGGGTCACTTTTATGACAAAAAAATGTAGACTCAGTGGGCACCCTCTTAGAAATTTTAAAGTGTTGAAATACTGGCCTCAAACAGTTCCTTCTAATTCAGATAGGTCAGAGCTTTAGTTTCCTTTTGTGCTAAAAAAGCCTTAAAATAATTGTCGTTACCTTTGTGCACTTTTTAAAAACGTTCAGAGCTGAGTCTACCCAGCCTGAAATTCTGGTTACGTCGCTAACTTTACCGAATCTCTTTCGATGGAAAATCAAGTTTGATCTGAATAGTTCTGATTAGCTTTTCCTTCAAAACTTTTATCACATATCTTCTCATACAAGAAGCACAAGTAAACCTATTGACTGTTGTTGTAAAGGATTTTGTTTTTCATACTATTATTTGATACGTTAAAGACATAAACAACTGTCAAATAATGATATATCCGAAAGATTTATATTTATCCATATATCGCACGTTTTTTGCTCTGTCGTCGATATATCGCGGCACATAAGAATAGGCAGTCTACTAACAGCAGCAATTATAATTTTTGGTTTCAGCTATAAACAATATCAGAAAATATTTTCTACTCAAAATTGAATTATTTATTAGAAAGAATTATAAAATGTTGTATTAATAAAATTTTTCGTAACACCATCTGTAATAAAAAATCTTATTTAATGACTGGGCTCAATTTGAGCTCTGTAGATAGTACAGATGACTCAGAAGCATTAACATTATCTGAGTTCATCAAAATTGAGTAAAGTCTATTAGTTTTAAGGGATCTGAAAAAGGATTCACCAGTTTCCGCAGGAAAACACCGGAAATAGATGGAACATGGAAGCAGTATTCCGGCAGGAAATTTTTCGGACTTTTCCCGGTGAATGCCAGCCAATTACAGTTCTTTCCGGCCAGAAATTATCGGAAAAAATCCGGAAAGTTTCCGGCCGGAATACTGCTTCCATGTTCCGGTGATTTTCTGCGGGATACGACGGTTTTCTCACATCTTTCCTGTCAGTTCCTGCAGTATCCTGTGGCCGGAGTGATCGACCTGGGTTTTGATAGAACGCTTTCAATCATAACCACTATTATAGCGCACATTATACCGAACGTTATAGTGGCGATTTTTGTCCGATTCAATTCACATTTACTGTTAAGATCATTTCTATATGTACTTACCATACGTAATTTGGGTTTGATTTCAGTGTAAGATGAATCTATGTATTGACATGTTGCAGAGCAAAATTGAAAATATCGTTGCAATTGCGAAAAACCTTGTAATGTTTTTAAATGAGGTAAATAATGTCATTTACTCAATTGAAGAGAAGATGCGCAACAATCGATGACATGTGATTGAATTTCATTTAATCGAAGTAAAGATAAAAGTGTTTGGAATTGATAATATTGTGTAGATGATACATTAACATGATGATGGAAACCTCATTCAAGTAATAATGTGGTCAAACGAGTATTGAGTTGACGGAATGCCCATAAAGCATCTACACAAGACAGATAAGAAAATATTTCAATCAATGATAGATCATGTAGATCATCGAAGACAGGGATCATAGTTATTGAGTAGCTAATGATGTCAAATAATAAGACGTTTCTTTTTTTTTTGCTTTTATAGTTGTATATTGAATGTTCTATTGTGAAAGATTATTGTACTTAAGTACTATGACACACGACTGCAAAAGACTATTGAAGTATATAGGCTAGAAATTTGCACCCCCCCTCCTCCGTACAAACCATGGCAAATGTTGCTGACATACTATTAACCAACGTATATCACTAAAACCTCATTAGAATATATACGAAGTAATTACTTATTCGAGTTCTAGAAAATTATGTAGATATGGGTAACATGATCTTGTCAGGATCAATCTTTTTTTATGGCCGAAACAAATACTTTTTCACCAAGATTGGGACGAAGCATTTATTCTAACTAGAGTCAGGATTGAGACCAAACAATATTGGTCCCACTCATGTATAAAATTAAGCTAATAATGATGAAGAAATGTGTACCAAAATAGATCGAATAGAGCAATTTTCATGTAATTAGCAACAACAGTTACATCGTGTTTCACATTTTATTCTCACAGAGTTACGCTAAAAGCTTTCACAATCATCAATCTTTACCATCTACTTTATTCTAAATTTTGTTTTTCACAATGTTCTCTTGAAGGTTTCAAGTTGAAGACAATATCGAAGCTTTTTCTTTTTGGTAATTTTTTCTTATATTTGAAATGATTCCTGATGACAGTTTCTTTCTCGTGCATATTTATTAATAAATATCAATAAAATATAGAGCAATTTTAGGGTTTTAAAAATATATGGCTTTCTAATTAATGACATTATATCAGTTGATTCATATGAATTCATTTTTATTCATATTTATCATTAGAAGAATCGAAATCAAATATTTTACCAGAAAAAAGATTGATAGCTTCTTCTGCTTCAATATTGTACAAACCAAATTCATGTAAATTAGGATAATTTGCAGCAAAAAAAAGACGTGCTATTGAAAATGATGCAAGATTCAGCCATTTGATATTATCACATATTTGAGGTAAGATTTGTAAGCAAGATCGATTAAGTATTGAATCAAGTAATGGATAAATAAAACATCTTGATAAAGATTTTAGCACAATTAAATGATTCGGAACAAGTCTTAGCAAATTCAATCGATACGTAAAAACAGAATCACATACGATTCTATTTAATTCCTTATTAACATGTAATAAAGAGTAGAGTACTTCACTATTGTACATTTTTTAAAATATAATCATAAAAATTTCATCGTGCAAATCATTTATTTGAAGAAGCAAAACTTATATATTTGTCTTTGCTTCTACAGGATTGGAAAAAATATTTTGATAGGGGGGTACCGCCATATTCTGAAATAGAGTTAATAATGAATTTTATACCAAATAAAAGCCCGTCAAAAATGGGGTTTATTGGTACTAAACAGTAAAGGTTATAGGAACTTTCGTATGTTGAAATGTTTAAACTTAGTAAATTCCATTGATCACAAGTGTGAGAAAAGTTATTGATGAGATAAAGTTCGAACTAAATGTGATACAAAATTCTTTATTTTTTCATTGTTTAATGAAAACAATCAATAGTCAGTGTGACGACCATTAGCGTTCTTTACTGCACGTAGTCGAGATGGATACGAACATAAGAGTTTCAAATAAATCAGTGTCGGTTTCCATATTTTTTCAAAACATCTAAAATGTGCATTTTGAGTGTTTCTTCAGGATAACGAGAATGTCGAGGTTCTGATAACATCTTTTTTTCAACTTCAACCTTGATTATTGTTCCAATATGTTCTGCCACATTGAGATCGGGTGAATTTTCTGGCCAAATATCATTACCCCAAAATTTAACATCTTTGTCTTGAAGCAAATGTTGGGTCTAATATGCTCGCATACATGGTGCTTTGTCATTGATAAATATAACTTCATCGGGATCAATAACATTTTCTTCATTTTTTAAGAATGGAAAGACGCGTTCAGTCAAAATTATATCACGAAAATATTGACCAGTCCAAGATTCACCTTTATCTTTAACCACCCAATGTAACCTTTTAGCGGTAAATATCTCAAAAATTTCAATGCATGGTTGATTTTTAACCATTTCACGATAACGTTCGTCTTCTTCGATATCATCGACGCTTTTTGCCCAAATTCGATCGTTCTGATAATTTGGTCGACGAACGACCCACACGTAAAATTCATCAGATGGTGCCAGATGAAGAAAATCTTCTTCAGTCCAATCTTTTAACCAATCGCACAGCCATAATCGATCTGATATGTGAGTTTCAGATTTTAGCGGTTTTNGGGGGGGGGGGGGGGGGGGGGGGGGGGTGGGGGGGGGGGGGGGGGGGGGGGGGGGGGGGGGGGGGGGGGGGGGGGGGCGGGGGGGGGTTATAAATATATTTTAACAAGGCTACATAAAAGTATTTGAGAAAAAAAATGTACTACTAAAGCATATTTTCTTTTTATTCAATAAGAATATCATCATTTTCATCTAGTTTGTGCTTTTTAAGAAATGAGCGATCGACACGAGTCACAAATAACATAATCTTGTTTCATTTTATGAAAATGAATGGTACTGAAATATGTCCATACTTTGGACATATTGTCCTTCTGTTTTGGTTTTTGAAAAGTTACAGAAGAATCATTATTTGAAATTAATTTTAACAAGTTCTCTTTGTAGATACTTTTTTCTGTAACGGTTGGATTCTCCATTGGATTCTAAAGTCAAATATATTTTGTTGTATCTGATCGTAATTTTTTTCTTTTCACGTAAACAAACAAGAGTCAATATCTTGTAACTTTCACCAATAGAAACAATTTATTCAATATCCTATATGTATAGTGGATATGTGCATGGGTCATCGAAAGATATCGCATAAATACAAACACTAAAATTTCCGTGACTCACGGTCACGATGGTTACGGTCGTGACCGTGATCGTGGCCGTGACCAAACTCGTCGTGACCGTGAGTGACCGTGACCAAAAAAAAGTGGTCACGCCGATGTCTAGTCAAGACATATACTATGAGCATTTTAAACTTTTCATTACACACTTCTTCGTTGAATGAAGTAGGAATATATGAAATACTCTATTAAACATCTTTTTATAAAATCCAGTGACACATCCGACCGAGTCTTACTTTTAGCACTTTCCATGATAAATTGGCTATACTTACCCGTTTTTTGCCATTTTTAACTGACGAAGGATAGGGGAAAAAGAGACACGTTAATACATGTTTTGATGCTATTATAAGTATAGTATATATCGTTGAATTCGATAGTAATTGCTTCTTATTTTAGTCTTTTTCAAGCATATGCTTTTTTCATTACTATGCTGTTATTTGTTTGTTAATTATGAGTCAATTAGCCGATATTAACTATCACAATTGTTATCTTTATTGAATGACATCATTTATGCCTTAGTTGTGCAAGACTATAGACGTCACAGTCACATTGTATAAAAAGATTTTGAAAATCGTTTGATAGCTCAGTAACATTTTTTTTTATAGATTTCACTTCAGTTTAAGAACACTTTTATAATGAATTTTTTCAAGCACCTTGACGATTCTTAGAAAACAACAAAAAAAGAAAATTTAAGGAAAAAAAAAAGCTTTTTAAATTCTTACTGCAAATAGTCCATCATTAACATTAACTATATCGCCAACATTGAAATTATTATTTTGTGAATCAAGTGCTGTTGCATTACGATTTATTTTTCGTTTTATAACTGATTGTATTGGAACAATTTGAACTTTTTCATCCATATTTAATACATGTAAACGTTCGTTTTCAATACGTATAACAACACCAACTTTATCGGCTCTATAAACAAGAAAAACTATTTTCATATTCTCATGTTTTTTTTGCTAAAAAACATACGATATATTAACTAAATCTCTTAATTGAAATTGTCCAGTTGAATCAACACCTGTTGCTGTTTCTTTTGTTATTTGAAGATCTGATGTTCGAACAGGCATCTAATCAAATTCAAAAAAAAAATAATTCTTTGTTTCTTTTTTTTCAAATCTATTGACTAACTTCATCTTTAGTTCCATCAATACCAACAATCATACCAGTTTCACCTTCAAATCTTCCATTTAAAACTTTAACATGATTTCCAACTGAAAAATATTTTCGTAATTCATGTGCTTTAAATGGTATTTCATCTTTTAAAGTTTTATGTTTTGGTAATATTCGAATTGAATCTCCATCAATACCAACAATTGTACCTTGTATATTTACTAATTCACCTTCACATACTTCAACATGATCACCGGGCGCAAATGATAATAATTCATTTTTTGATGTTTTTCTTTTATTTATTGAAACTATATTTAATAATTCAAAAAGAAAAGAATTTTTTATATAAAATATTGTTTTTTTTTGAAAAATAAAACTAACCATTACTTTCAGGTCCATCAATTGTTTCTTCAAATTTATCTAATTCACTTATACTTGGAGTTATACCATCTGCTGACTAAAATTTATTTATTTTTTTATTTTAATTATCTCTTTATGATTTGAATAAATATACGATCGAGTTTCTTTCTCCAAAAAAAAAAAATTACCAGATCAAAAACATCAGAAATCTTACATTAATTAGTATTATAAGATTATAGAAAATTTTATGCATCTGACATTATGTCAAAAATTTTTTTTTTGATCTGTATCTAGATCTGGCATAAAGTGTCGACTCACAAGTGATGAATCATTTAAGAAACTTCCTATGTCAAATATCAAGGTTGATGAAATTTTGACAACTTTCTACTTTATTTGAGCTAAAAAAGAAGTTTTCAATTTTTTTTTGGTTTCGAAAATAATAATCAATCAAAAATTCTATTGTTAAAAACGAAAATGTAACATATTTACAAAGATTTTTGTTACTTACAACAGCATGAAGTGGAAAGTTTTTAATAAGAAAACCTTTATCATCAAATTTTCCGCCTTCAAATGTTTTATATTCATAATCTGTTTTAATTTGTCCACCTGCAGCTCTAAAAAACAAAACAAAATTGTTTTTTTTGTTTTTGAAAATCTCCTATTCGTCTGAAATCCTTACTCAACAGCTGTTTCATCAAATAATTTTGCTGGTGGTTGTTTAAAAGCAAAACGATTTTTTTTTCTTAAATGCTTGATGTGGTTCAGGTACAATATCACTTTGATCATTTGATCTTCCACGTGGTCCTCCATGTTTTCTACTATAATCAATTCTTGGTATTAATTTAAGTGTAACCATATTTTGTATCATATCACATTATTCAACTTTAGCTAAATCATCTCGATAAATTCCACGTTTAACACATACCCATGAACCTTTTTTTATTCCATATGTTGTTCTAACAACACGAAGTATATCGGTCATTCCTTTAATAGGTAACATTTGAAGATTTGAAACATTTAATGAAGGAATATCTTCACATGCTGCTTTAACATGATTTGATTTAAATGCTTCAACATAAATATAACCACGATCACCTTCTTTAACAACAACTGATTTTATTTGTAATGCCTTGAGAAAAAAAAATTAATTTTATTATTACTATGTTTTCTTCAAAAATTTTCTATGAGCATTCTTTTTTTTTTAAAGGATGGACTCTGTTTTGCCCTGCTTTTTAACATGGTCTTTCAAACAAAGAAACATTTTTCAAGTAGAAAATTAACTTTTGTGAGGTCTTAGAAAAATTTTGTTTTTACTTTTTCATCATTTTCTAAAGCAAGATATTTTCTCATAAGTAATAAAGCTGTTTGTTTTTCTTCTCCAATTCGACATTTAACTGGCCAAAGATTAGGCGATTTAACATCAGGTAATAAACTTTGTTGTGTTATTTCATCTGGAATTTGTTCACCATCTTCATATTCATCATAATCACCATGCGTTCCTCGACTTTTAGGATCATAACGTTGTTTTAAATATTCTTCCATTTCACTAGAAGAAAAAAAATGGAAATGTCTTAACTAATTTAAACTAAATAAAGAAAACTAAACTCTTCTGCGATTGGAAATTTTGATCGTCCAGCTCGATAAATATCAGCTGCTGTTGTATCATGAATATCAGTTTGTTCAACAAAACCGTCTTCAGGTGCATCTTCTTCTTCTTCGTCTTCATCAACATCTATGAAAAGGATGAAAAATAGATTTAATTTGTTTTTTTTTTAGATTAAACCTTTAACCAACTTCATCAATAATAAAATTTTTCTGGAAATTTCCTTTTTTCTTTTATTTGTACTTTCTTCATCCTAAAAATAATTATTTAAAATTCTTTGTTTTTTTTCTTTTTATAAAAATAAACTTCGTCATCTTCTTCCTAAAAAAAACAAAAATATTTATTATATAAATTGATGTAGATTTAACCTCTTCATCATCTTCATCTTCTTCTTCTTCCTGATTTATTTCTTCATCATCATCTTCGGATGCTTTGCATTTTTTTGATTTTCCTTTTCTCATATCATCTTTACGCCAATATAAAAATAAGAAAAAAAAACAGTTCAAAAAATGTTTTAAATAATTCATAACAGACTTCTTCACTATTGCTCATGGTTAGAAATCGATAAATATTCTAAAAGACAAAGAAACATTTATATTTTAGAAAAATATACGAATAAATCTGACCTTCTTGTTGTGTTCGATTTGCAAAAATGAATGGATAGGAAACGATTATTGAGGTTATATAGTGAAGAAGAATTGATTTTTATTGCTTGAAAGATTTTAACCAATATAAAACAAACGATTTCATAAATTCATCATCAATGAACGAGTTTTGTCACTAGAGTCGATTTTTATTTTATATTTTGCATAAATAATCAAAAAATATTATTTTTAGAACAAAAAACCACGAAATTTCATCGTTGGACTTTTTTTTTGTGGGTAAAAAATTTGTCATTTTCTTTTGTTTTTGAGAAATGATTGAATATGAATATTTGAAATTATTTATTGCTAATTGTAAAAATGATTATAAACTTAATTGTCGTCGATTGCTTTCGGTAAAATTCTTTAAAAAAGAACTTTTTTTATAAATTTATTTTTGTTTTATATTTAGTTTTGTAATAAAACAATGGCTTCATTTTTCTATATGTTAACATATCAAGTTGAACTTAATGATCGGGCTTTTTTCACGTCTGTTGAATTATTGAATAAGTATCGAAGATTTTTTTTTTCTTTTTTTTCGAAATTTTTCTTGGATTTACAAAGAATTTTTTTTTAAAGATATTTAATTTGTTCAATGATAAAAGCATGTAATTATCAAAGAAAAATATCTTCGAGAGAAATATATTATTGCTACTTCTTGTTTTCAACTTGCAACACAAATTTGTGTATGTCATTTTTCTTTTCATTATTCATTTCTTCTATCTATTCAAGTAAATATCTCAACGATGAGAATTTTGAATAAAAGATGGGTACCTTAGACTTGTTTTCAAATCCCAATAGGTAGTATGCCGTTTTGTCAAATACAATCTAAAACGAGTGTTGAAGTATAAGGGTAGAAATTTGAACCTACTAGTATAGACGTGACAGATATCACTATGGAAACATCAAAGACTGTATATGAATAACGTCTAGTTATAATATGTAGTAGTGGAAAAAAGTTTAGAGCAGTTGTACTTTTAAGGTTTCTTCTCAATGGTAATAACTGGGAAGAATCTGAAAAAACATTTGTATACTCTATTAGAACTAGTAGGCTCGAAGACTCCAACGAAATTGCTTTACTGAGGATATGTGCAAAATCAAGACATTCAAAAGCAGCTTTCTGGTTTCCATTCTAAGCTTTTAGAAACCCTAGAACATGTCACTAGTCACTCCATGACCATCCTTGATTGAACTGCATTTAATTTACAGAAAGCTCAAGAAGCATTTTCTCTTATTTTTAATGAAAATTGCAATGTTTTTACCATGTTTGACGCTTTAAGACCTTCTGTAAATTGAATATAGTTTGATAAAGGAGGATCATGGAAAGGTTGAAGACATGTTCTAGGGTTCCCAAAAGCTTCGAATAGAGGCCAAAAAGCTGCGTTTGGAAGTCTTGGTTTTCCGTAGGCATTCATCCAAGCAGTTGTGTTAACATCTTCGAGCCTACCAATTCTCATAGAGTATACAAATATTGTTTCAGATATTTGCTAGTTATTATCATCAAGAAGAAAATTTAAAAATACAATTTCTCTAAACTTTTATCTTCCACTATCCTTATTGCAGTTCTGAGGATTAAGTAAAAACGATGGCGAAGAAATTTGCTACAAAATAAAACGAATAAAATAATCTCTTTGTAATTAGCAAGAGTAGGTACATTGTGTTTCACATTTTAATCCCGCAAAGATTGTGCTAACAGGTGTTTTTTTGATAGATTTCTGAAACACTGATTTGACTCATTGTTAAAAGGTAAAGAAGAAAATACATCGGTTTCTGTTGAAATGTTTCTAATTCCAAAATTTTTACTAGTAAGAAGACCGATTATGTATCATCCACCTTCATACAGAACATCTCATTGTTATTTCTAAAGACCAGATAAAATCTATCGAATTTAAATTCAGATTCGAACTCGCATTTTTAATATAGTCGATAGGATCTTGCGAAAACTTCACATCCGTAATTATCCTTCAACCTTCTATGACTGAATATCTGAATATGAAGCAATGTTGATATAAATATATATGGGTGAATTGCACCCGTATTGTACCGTTGGTTTCCAAACACAAAAAGGCTTGTATCTCAGCTTCCGCTTGACGAATTTGGACAATTTTTTTTAAATGTTCCTTAGAATCTGCTCCTATTGACCGTTAAACTCTCAAGTGTTCTGGCTCCTGTAGCTATGGAGTTTCCAAGCAAAAAAAAAGTCAAAATCAATGATTTTCGGCGTCACCTATCGAAAAAAATGCGTTTTCTCTCCCACATTTTTCATTGGATGAAAATAATCTTTTATAGCAATTTTGTAGCAAAGACTTGCCTCTTTCTGCTCATATAAATTGATTAAATCTTTGGTTTCAATTTACTCATCAAATTGTGGAAAAACTAACTAAACATACACTTCGACCACTTTATGTCACAACAGATTAAATTCAATTTGCTAAAACCAATTCAAAAGCAAACGCGAATTTTTTTTAATGTTCGGTAGAGTAAAGAGCGAGAAATCTTTTGATAAAAAATTTTTTTCCAAGATCTCTCTGGATCAAATAAAAACCTAAGAATACGAGGGAGGGGGTAGCTATTTTCCACTAAATGTCACGATAGATTTTTAATTTTGTTTGTTTGATTACTTGCTAATCGCAAGAGATTAGCGAATGATTGTTTTTATCATTTTCTGTCGAACTATGTGGTAGATCTGTGGTAAAAATTTCAGACCTTTATCTCTTTCCAATCCAGAGATATAGTCCCCAATTGGCTTAAACACAAAAAAAACCGTGCAGAACCTATGCAGCAACCGTATACTTCGAAAGCTCGACTTTGTTCCTAAACGGAAAACCTGACAGTTGGGAAAATACTTGATTTATATACAACAAATGTAGCTCTATCGAATGCGCGACTGAAGCGTTTTAAAAGTTACTTTTATTTTTTTCGATTTTTTGCTTCAAACGGTACAATACGGGCGCAATTCACCCATATAAGTATGCATTCGTTTGAAAAAAAAACGAAAAAAATATCTGTAGGATCGACCAATTGATACTCCTCGTTTAATTGGATATTTTCATGAACTTGCACGAATGGATCCAAATATAACAACAATAACAAGATTAAATCGTGATCACTGAATTGAAATTGAAATTCATATATTAACAACAATTGATCATATATTTCCTCGATATACTCCTCATATGTTTATATTTTATTTTCTTCGATTTCTTAGTTAGTTTATTTCTTTGTTTTTTATGTTTTCAAAAAAAAAAACCAATTACAAGAATTTAGGTGATGAAATGAAAATGGTCAGTGAACGTTTACATAATGCATCAATGCTTTTACTTGTTCATATTTATTTACAATGGACATCACTTATTGAAATTTTAGCAAAAAAAGAAAGTGGATTATCAACAGTAAATAAAATACAAATGTATTCAATAGATTTGTTTGTATTTTATTTTGATAATAATCTATTAATTAATATTAGGGAAAGTGTTACTCAACGATTACGTGATCCATTATTACTTGGTTCAGCTATAATTCTTGCAGCATCAAAATGTTTTGTTATGGAATGATTTCACAAATTCATGATAAGGTTTTGTTTATTTTCATATTTGAAAAAAAGCAACTATTTATTTTGTTTTTCGAAATAATAGATCATCAGTTTATTTATTAGCCTTCTTGGTATTGATCCAATGCGTATTTATATGGCTCAATTTTTTGCCGAAGAAGTTTTACAAAAATCAGTCAATGTTCGATTATTAATCGGACAGACAGATAATTCAAATTCAAGAATTTTAGTTGATCGTGAACATGATTTTGATGATGAATCAATGATGACATTTTCCTCACCCTAGATCAATTTTTTTGTCTTCTCTTCAATTCAGTTTGCTCTTGTTCGTATTGAAAAAAAAATATCAATGAATTATGTTTTGTCGAAATTCAAAATTCGTTTGCTATTAAAAAATTCGAATCCGTCATTGATAAATTTTTCTCTCAATTTAAATATAACTTTGATTTAACTTTCACTGGTTAATCAGTCTCTAAATGATAATAAGCTGACATAAAACATTTTCAAATATTTGTACAGAATAGAAATGTCTTTCTATCATATACCCTGTTGGTTGCTTGCTTAAAACATCAACATAATTATAAATTGTATAGATAAAGAAATTCGATGTAATTACTTGGAAATCGATTTTTCTGGTTCGTACAGATATTTTATCTACTTTCTTTTTTTTATATTTTTCTTTCTTCTCTTATTTTTATGTATTTTGTGAACAATTACCGATTATTTTTGTTCTTTTATTGCTATTCTCTCGTATTCTAATTAAGAGGACTAGATGTCACTAGATGCCATGAAGCTTTTAAAGTGGACTGAGAAGCTTTGTGATTGAATAAATAAAAAAACAAAAGGAATGTCATGAGCATGAGACATTCAATATAATTGTGGTTATGGTTAATTATTTTGCTCTAGTTTTTTGAAAGAAAAAGAATCAATCATTTTGACAGAATTGAAATTCTATCTATTATTCTTATCGTTAATTGTAAAGATATTAACTGTTATAATTGTTTCTTTATTCTTTTCAGATACTGCTATAAAGATTTACTTTGCTTGTTACAATGAATCCTGATGTATTGGCTGATACACTTGATAACTTGTCGATACCTATGGAGTTATTGCCACTACCAGCACCAGCACCAGCACCACCGACAACAACACAAGATAATAATGCTGAGCACGTTTATTTTTAGATATTTTCTAAAATGAGTGTCGAGAGCACGATACTGATTAGAATCGACTTTTTACATCTTCGTGTTTTTGCTCTAACATCTCCACGAAATTGTGAAATAAGATTGTGATAAATTTATAGCAAAATAAATTTCAGAGATTCACGTATATGACATACATTCTTATGTTAAATGGGATAATATATATATTGTATAGGTTCATTCTAATTTGGAACAGCTTTTGCATTGCCATTCTAGTTAGAGACAATGCACCGATTTAGAATGTTTTTAAACGTAATTGATGAAGATTGTATTGAGAAAACCTAATCAATAGAAAGAGATATTTGGCTGATCTTTACAGAAAGATACTTGGGGATTCTCCCAAAGTAGTGTCGTCAATATCTTTTTTTTTTTATAGAAAGCTGGAAAAAAATTTCTTTTTTAGGAATAGATAGAACGTCTTTCACTTTATCTTTCTATACTATTTGATCAATATTCAACTGGGATCGTAATAGCAAAACTCGTTAAGAGCGTTTTTTTTGACAACCGCTTGGTAGCAAATTAAATTATAATGGATGTGGCATAAAAATGGGAACACTATTGTATTTCATTTTATCATCACTTAATGTGTTGAATGAAAAAAACAAAATATGCCACCGGATGCAGCGTGAAACGCTCTACAATTTACATAAGATCTCTTATTTCATAGTTGCACTGTTTGTTTTCAAAACGGACAAAACTCTGAGCGTGCACATTTCAACACTGCGAAAACGAGATTTATTTTTTTTTGTAAAAGACGACTTCGTTTTTCCTATCTCATCTTTTTATAATTGCCCTGTGTAAATTGTAGAGCTTTTCATGCTGCATCTTGTGATGTATTTTTCTTTGTTAATAAAAGATATCAGATAATAAAAATATAAGATAAGACAAAATGAAGTCATCTTTTACCAAAACAAGTCTCGATTTTTGCAGCGTTAAAAAAATTGCACGCTCAGAGTTTTGTCGATTTTGAAAAGAAAAAGTGTAACTATGAAATAACCGATCTTGTGTCATTTGTAGAGTTTTTCACGCTGAATTTTGTGGTATACTTTGTTTTTTCATTCAACACATTGGGTGATAATAAAGTGAAATGTAAAAATACTCCACACCTTATGATCTAACGGCTACCAGCTGAGATACCACAAAAAAATTCTTATCGAGATTTTACTATAATAATACCAGTTGAATATTGATCAAATAGCACAGAAAGATAGAATGAAAGACGCTTTATTTATTCGTAAAAAAGAATTTTTTTTAAAGCTTTCCATAAGGAAGAAAAGTATTGACGACATTACTTTTGGATAACCCTAAGTAGAACAAAGTATAAGCAACAAGTTCTATAGCAGACATTTACTTCGATTTCGAAGTGTATGTGAATATGGCAGAATTTTTGAACATTGTCTATTCCTCTTGTATGAGTACTAAAGTTACAAAACTTACCATGCTCTGTATGTGCATTCAGTGTTGTGCCGAGATGTTTCGTTGAATCATGATAGTACTATGAAGGAATGAGTTTATGAAGAATAATGAGTAGTCCTTAACAAATTATATTGTTAGTATTTTCAAAAATGCTTCTCTTTTTTCCATTTACTCGAAACATTTCTTATCAAAAGATTTGGCATCAAATTCTCTATAAACCCATATGTAATCTGTTTTAAAAATCATTTCAAATATATTCGAAAAGAAAAAGAAACGTAAAGATGTTCAAATAGTTATAAAAACTAAATACAGGTAACCAAATGTATTATAGTCTTAGTAATGTTCTATGTTTTTCTTTTTCTCTCTTGGTAGACTCTATTGAACTAATTTTTGTATTAAAAGATTTCTTGTAAAATGCTCTAGAAAATAGCGTTTTAAGTCAATAGAGTTAATTGATTCTACTGTTTAAAGTATATTTTAATCGTAGAACTATATCGAGTACCAGATGAAAATTATCTCACTTTTTAAATTTGTTTATATTGTGTTTTAATTATCGAATTTTTATATAACTTTGGTGAATCAAGTCTACCAAGACAGAGAAAAAAACAAAGACAACTACTAAGACTATAATCGTTTTAGTTCACTCTTATTTATTTCTTGCAGCTGTTGAAACATTTTTATGTTCCTTGTTTTTTTGAGTATATTTGAAACGACTTTCAACTCAGATTACATATGAATTTGTAGAGAATTTTATGCTAAATGTTTTGGTAGCAAAATGTTTCAAGTGAATAGAAAAACGAGGAAAACTAGAGAAAATTCTAACAGTATAAATCTCTTAGGTTTATTTGTTACTGGACAATGTTTTATTTCATGATCAAATTTTTAATGTCAAAGAGATTGCTGTCCAGCTGTTAGCTGACTCTTTAACAAGATCTATGAATCTAAAAATCTGCAATCATGCTAGAGATAGTATTTTGACAACAACTGATGGAGCTTGTTCACTTACTTTGGGAATATTTTTCAGGCTAAAAAAGATTTTTTAAAGATAAAATGTTTTAAAATAACTATTCTTTTCATAATAAATGAAAAAATGACATATTTTCTTGAAAATGATTAATTTATTATTAGAATAATCATTAAAATTTTTACATATACAGTGAAGGTCGAAAAAAAGCATATACATTTTTCATTTTTTTTGCACATATACAAATAAGAAGGAACGTTCCATAGGAAGTCAACCAGAAAAACACAAAGTACTGAGAAAATTTTCTTTCATATCAGACTTTGTTGTGTTTTTTCCACTACTCGTTTTGGTAAAAAAAGACTTTTTGAATCTCATCGAGTAATGCCGTTACTATAGTCAGAATACCAAAACACTGTGAAAGAACTTAAAAAGAGATTTTTTCTGATAAATAAGCATGAAAGGTCAATTCGCATATATCAACATGTAGCCAGTATGAGATATGCGAATCAAATTCTTCTATTTATTTATCAGGAAGAATCTATTTTAAGCATTTTTACAGTCTTTACTATCTCGACTATGACATCGTCGTTGTTCATTGAAATTCAAAAAGTTTTTTTTACCAAAATGATCAGTGAAAAATTCAAAAGATCTAATATGAAAGAAAACTTTGTGAGTAATTTGTATTTATCTGGTTGACTTCTCATGGAACTTCCTTTGTAATTTGTGTATGTGTATAAAAAAAAAAGAAAAACGTACATGTCTTTGTCAACCTTCACTCTAATTTTATCCGAGAGTATTTTGGCGCGATTTATTTTCAAGTTTTTATGCGATTTCCTTTCTCTTACTGTTTTGTACAATAAAGATATTTATTTTGCCTGGTAGCATGAATATATGGGTCACTGATTACAATCAATCATTTCTCAAAAATTAATAGCTACTAGTAGATATTAATAAGCACTTATTTCATTTATATCTACTCTTTATCTAATTTTGACTTTCTAACTTACTGTTAACTATTTATTATTTAGTTATAGATTTATTGCATACTTATATAAATTATCCGTCATTTTCCCATAGTCTTTTATCAAATTCGTTCTATTAAAATATTAGATAAACTATTAACAAGAAACGATCCAACAATAATAAATCGATACAGGAGTTGCTTTGGATGTTCACATCGTTACATGTTTATTAACAACGATTCTTCATTAGACGAATCCACAGATATTATAGAAATACGCAAATAAATAGGAAGGTGTAGAGAGAAAAGAGACTGATGACATCAATATGAAGATAAAGAATTTTATATTGCGATGAGGATAGTATCCATTGAATTGAATATATATGAGTAAAATCATTTGTTAGTGATATGATTTTGCAAAATTAAAATGAATGTATCTGTGAATTATGAACTCTGTTGTA